TTGCAGAATTGCAATTCAGAATTCAGTGGTTATTCTACAGAAACAGGACCATTACTGACATCAGCCTGATGAACCCTTGATTGTCAAGCTCTCAAGTATCTACTCTAATTCTGTGCTGTTTCAGTGTATTTATTTTTCTGGCCCTAAATATCTTGAAGGGAGTAAAATGGGAAATCCTCATGGAAATGTTTTGAAGCATCTTCATGACGCAGGGTAATAATGTATCATCCTTTAGCTGTGAAGCTCCACATTTTCTTGTATCTCACCTGCAATTCTAAGAAGTGTTTGTTGATATTTAGGTGTCCATGAAATAACTTTTAGGTTAACTTCAGAGGCTGGTTGATATTTTCTAAAAGGAAGGCCACTCTAAATTCTATCTGTGGTATGCCTAAAATTTATTTTAAGAATTAGTTTACTATAAAATAATGACATTCAGAAGGACCCAGGAGTGGCTTATTCCAATGATCCCGTAGCAACACGAGAGAAAGTATTTATGTGAGGTCAAGAGGCATCAAGAATAGAGGAAAGTCACTATGCAAAGCACTTTTCCCAGTGATAAATTCCTACTTTATAAAGTGTTATCAACACAATTCAGCAGAGGCAGACACACCTGCCGTCCATTTAGTCAGTTAAAAGTCCTGTCCTCATCGAGTTGTTAATATTTACAAAGAATCTGTGGGCTGATAAGCTTCTATGTTGTAGTCCAATATATTGCCTTTGCTGCTGGGTGTGTCACTTGCTCTTCATGTTTTCTTAATCTCATTAACCACATCTTACTCCATCTAAGCTCTTACCTGCGTTAGCAACAGGCAGGAGCTGGTTTTTGACAGTAGGCACAGGGAAATGCCTGGGCACCCCTTGACAAATGGTCCTAATGAGCACAGTTCTGTAAATCTTTGCCTAGCAGGGAGTGTTGTATCATTCCATTGCAAGCTGTCAAGATGCACTTTCTGGGACCGTAAATATGTAAGTCCTTTTTAATTTTCGGTGTGTGCTTTAGGCAGAGCGTGCCACAATCATCTGGCTTGGTTCCTTCATGGATTTCTGGTAGGGTTTTAGCAAAATGCCTAAAATTTCACTGTAACGTCAGCAGGTTGCAGGAAGAGTGCAGGATTGGTCCAGGTTTGCTGCTAAGGATAGGAGCTGTAAGTGGGAAGTGCTATTGATGGTATGGTACGTGATTAAATGTTGTTATTGCTTATTTTAGCATCTAAGTGCCTTCCCTCTCCATAGAGCTGGCACTGATGAGCAGGATGTGCTGCTGGGGACATCGTCCTGCTCAATGTTTGATCGTGTTGGGACAGAACATTAATTATGGGCAGTTCTGGGAATCAAAACTGAGGTTCAGCATGAGGAGGGTCTGATGCAAATTTTCATTATTTGCAGTTGCATTGCCCAGATTGATTCATTGCCCAGATTGATATCTGCCAGAGAGAAAGCACCCATTTAGAGGGTGGAATAGGAAGGAAAGGATCTGTCTGACGGTTTTCTTTAATTCTTCTCCATAGTGGAAAAATACTTGAGATGAGAGTTTCCTATATTCCCCTCTTGGGGAATAAACAAACGTTTTGCCAAAAAATGTTCGGTCCTGTTGACTCTGGGCTGTTTAAGTTTGTGTACTGAAATTATGCCAAGAACCACCAGTTAAGAAAACCCCCTCTGTAGCAGAGGTCAGATTAAATGCAAGGGGGCCTCCCCGTCCTCCTCCTGATGGGAACCCACTGTGGACATGCCAGATACAACACTGGTGTGTTTGGCTGGCAGATATCGTGGCTGGTTGGACATCTGGAGCCAGGGCTGTCTGCCCTGAGATTGCTGTATCGTCTTGTGGTCGTTGTGAAACCAAACAGGAACAGGTAATAACTCAAACCGTCGCTCCTGCTATCTGGAGTTGTCCCCTCTGGGGAATGGCTGGGTCTCAGAGGGCTTGGGAAAGTGATCCTGAAGGTCAAGGGGAGACGTGCTTGGTGCAGATGAAGTGATAATGGACTCTGTGGAAGGAGGGGAGGACCATTTGAGGCTTTTATTATCCCTGAAGCCGTGAATCATCCGAAACGCTAATCCTTGGGCGTGCAGTCAGCAGATCCAGGCTGCTGCTGTGCCAGCCCGCACCGTCCAAAGGCATCCAGCCTGCAAGGAGCTGTGCCCTGTTTCTCCCAGGTCTTTTAAATTTTTTCTAGGATTGTTTCATGCTTGATTTTGCAATTACGCAGGGCAGAAATCCTCATGTGGCTTCTCAGAGACTTTCAGACCTTATAAGTCCATTTAGATGGACTCCTCCTGGTGCACGGGGATGGGGTGGTGTGTCTGATCCTCAGGGTGTGAGGTTGGGTCCCTTCAGGAAGGCAAGTCCCAGGGGCCAACTTTGCCTCATAAAATAAGTGTGTTCTCTTCTGTTGGAAGACGTTGGGTGGGGTTGTAGGCTGGCAGAAGACAGAGTAGATCCAGTTCTCCTGTGAGTTGTCGCAGCTCTGTGGACTCTGCCTGCTGGCAGACTGCAGCAGGGCCTGTGGCTCTGGGTCAGTGCTGGAGGGATGTGCCCCCTGTCATGGCACAGATGTGGTTACAGCCCTTTGATCTCTGTATGACCCAGCTCAGAGCCCACAAGCCTTGTCGGGAGGCAGGTGGTGGGTGTGCCGGCTGGCCCTTGGTTTAAATTCCATGATGGACATTTCCCTGTTGATGAGCTGTTGCTTGTCACTCAGGCTTAACTGTTTTGTCATTGATGAGGATGAAGTTGCTACTCAACCAGATCCACAGAGGCAAGAGGCTCAAAAACGAGCAGGAAAGGGAGTAGCACTGTTGGAGGCCACAAATGGTGCAGAAGGTGGCATTTCAGAGCATAGTAGACACAGCTGCCAGGATTTGTGGCATTTCTGTGGAGTCTTGGCAATGAGGGCACTCCTGGCCCTGTAAGGGTTGGCAAAGCAGAATTTGGGACCTCTCCACCCGTCTATAGTGGTGGCAGCTGGGGAGTCACCCCATCCCAGTTGCCTCTGCCAGAGCTCAGCCCTGGCTTCCCAGCATGAGCCTCCTTATTGCCTCAGCCCTTGCAATGAGCTTTCTAAATAGGGGTTTAATGACCAGGCATTAACCCTCAGATTATGAATACTGCAGGCTGAGAATCTACATTGAGAGGAACAGCCCTTTTGTTTGGTCAAAATGAGCTATTTTGTTACTGCTTTCTTTCAAAACCTCTCCCACTTCACTCTATTTCCCTGCCAACCCTGCCTGCTACAGCAGCCATTGCAGCGATGAGTCAGGCTTAAAAATAGGAGGAAATTTGTATTTTAATAATAAGTTGTCCTGTGAGGTTATGATTGAGGCTGGAAGGGTCCTTAGGAAGTCATCAGGCTGAACCTCATGCTCCAACAGGGAGTTCAGGCCAGGTTGCTCAGGGCCTGTTTTTTTGATTTGGAGTGTTTTTTCTTTTTTTTCCTCTGGTTTCTGAGGCCTCAGGAAAGTGTGCTCTGTGTCGGAATTTTCGTGTGACCCTATGAAACCCTACTAATCTACCTTCTCTCTGCAAGCCGAGATGTCCTGCAGCCTTTTGATCCCGTCAAAATGAGCTTGTAAGGGATGAATAAAACCCTCAGCTTTTGTGAGCATTGGCTGTATTTGAGTGCTGGTAGGAGAGATCCTGATTTTCTACCCAGCTGTCCCCGTTTGTGGCACTTGGGTGCTGGCCAGCCTGCAAAGAAAAATGGATATTCCTGGCAGAAGAGTGCAGCAACCAGCGCTCCTCGGCGCTAATTGACCCTTTCTTGGCAGCTTCATCAAAGACGTTGAAGAATAAATAGGCTGTTGATTGAGCTGTTTCCTCGTCCCCAGAGGTGGTCCCTCTTACTCAGGGCTGAGGCTCATTGTCAGGGCTGGGGAAGAAGCTTGCAGAGCGATTAGGGGGAACAGAAAAACCTTTCATCTCTGGCACTTTCCATGTGGCATCTGGGAGATGGGATCGTGGTGGGGGTTTGCTGCCTCCTCCGGTGCCCACGGAGCAGGTTTCGGTGCTCTGGTCCACTCCAGTGATGCTCAGGGTGCGGATTTTGAGGGAAGAGAGGGGTCGTAGCTCGGGTTAAAACTCTTAATAGTGGAATCTGATGAGAACACAGGTCTGGAGCAGGAAAACACCTTCAAGGAAAGCCTGGATGCAGAAGTTGAGGCGATGCTGATGGACGTGGCTGGTGCATTCTTCACATACAAGAGTCGTGTTGGTGCTTGCTGGCCCTGCTGCAAAGGCACGCAGAAACCCGGCCGAAATGAGGCGTGCAGGTTTCAGCTGATTAATTAATGGAGCGTGCAAGGAGAAAATATTAACCATTTTGCTGATGCCTGTAAAGAGGTTTTTAAATGTTCTGCTGGGTCTTTTCTTTGTGATAAATTGCATTCACATACTTCAGCCTTCCCTTTATTTCGTTCCAGGCTGGACCTGGAGTCCAAAATATTTGAACTTTATGGGGGATGGGCAGTCCTTAAAAACTATTTTCAGTGAAAATATTTTAAAGTTTATGAACTGAAACCCTTTGTTTTGAATCAGATCACTGTTAAGCTCTGAGGTTTGACCAACACCATGCCGCTTCATGAAATTTGTTGTCTGGAGGTAGAGTTTTAGATAAAGACAGAGCAAAAATTAGCACTAGAAGCCCTTGCTTTTGGGCAGAGCCTTGCTTTCTGCAGCTGTTTCAGGGCTCATTCTGCACTCAGCAAATAGTGTGAGGGTGTGCAAAATAAATATTGATATGGTGCTCCCGCCACGGTGGCCTGAGCGTCACGTGTCTGTATAATGAGTCCCAACTGGAGTCTGAGTGACACCATATACATCCCTGTCATGTGAGAGGGCCTATAGAGTTACGTTGCTATGGCAGCCTGATATGGGGCAGCGTGCCATGTTCTTGGGCAGCAAACACAGCCCTTCCTTCCGCCCAAACTGATGAGTCCATCTCTGATTCACCAGCACTGACTCTGTGCCATTTTTTGGTTGTGTTTTTTTTTTTTTTTAGTGATGAAAACACTAGAAAAGACTTGAAGACGCTGCCAGTCTTTCCCACCAAGACGCTGCAGGAGCATCCATCGCTCGCTTACTGGTGAGATGTTTAATTTAAAATGTAAATCATTGCTATGAATGATAATGGCAAGAGGGCTCTAAAACAGTTTTGCAAACTCTCTTTTAAAAAGTTTTCAGCCTGCGTGCTACAGGACTTGGAGTTAATTGCTCGTGTTCAAGCATTTCCAGTTTTTTAGGAGGTTATAAATTATGCAAGATCCAATGCAAATTCCTCCTTGAAAGCTGAAATTAAATTGTCGGGTTAGAAACTGCTGGATCAGAATATGGGGGGACCACGCTTTAGAAGGAGCTGAAATCTGAACTGCAACCAAGCCTGGGTTTGCAGAGAGCACCTTGATTTTCATCTGTCACTCAGTGGAGCCTCTGTGGTGGGGTGAGCTTTGCTGGCTGTCAGATGCCCACCCAGCTCCTCTCAATGGGACAGGAGGAGAAAATAATTCAGAAAAGCTTGAAACAGGAAGGCACGTGCAATTCTGGGGCTTGAACCTGCTGTAGAGGAGCACAGCATTCAGGATGAATCAATGATACTGTTTCCTTGGAGTTGATGCCCTTTGTGCAAGTTTAACTCCCTCATTTGTTTCATTTTTTTAGGCTTGATTTGTACGTGATGGATTTTCAAGTATAGCAGTGCTTGCTTATGATTTGTTTTTCTCGGGATGAATACTGCTGGGTTTGTCTTTGCTTTCAAGAGTCTTGACACATAAATGCATATTTTATTTTGCATTCCACCAAAACAAAGTGTTGAAGTATATAACAGAAGAAACACAAAAAAAGGTCACTGCTGACAAATCTGTGTTTTTTTCGCCTATGAAATGTCAGGAGGGGGAAAATACACTGGAATGAAAACAGTTCTGGTTTAACTTCTTTTTAAATATGGAGCATTAACCAGCCTTTGAAGTTTGGGTCCTTTAGAACGTTAAAGTGAATTTATACAATTAGCACCATTGTTCTGCAGCAGCATCTGCAGCAGAACAGGCTGATCCAAAGCAATTCTTTAATTAGTCTGGAAGGCAGGATGCAGTGGTGGGATCAGCCAGGCAGCTCGATGCTGCCTAATGAAGGGTGGGAAAGAAATTAGTAAGAACCAGAATGTAAACCAGAGCAAGGAACGTACAGAGGGACACTGCTCTGCTGGCTGAGCAGGTGGCTGAGCTCCCACAGATGCCATCACACATGAACAAAGTCACTGAGCCTCTAAATTGGGTTTTGTGCTTGCTTTGCAGTGAGGACAGAGTAATTGAGCATTATACACAGATTAAAGGTCTGACCAGAGGACAAGCCATCGTTCAGTGAGTATGACACTTGTTAATTTGTGAAGATTATCTTTTCACTTTTCTTCTCCCTTTTTTTTTTTTTTTTTTTTTTTGGTTTTTGTTGAGAGGTGGCAATGCAGGCTGTTGTGGTTTTTATTGCCTGCACACGATACCATTTGTGTCTGTCAGATTTTTTTTCACTGAGTTTTATTTCAGAGTTGAGTTGCACTTTCAGCGTATGTTCTCATTCATAAACCTCAAATACAAAAGAAATAATTTGGACCTTTCTCTATTAGAAAACTCTACTCCAAACCCTGCTTGCTATCAGTTAGTTTTCCCAGCAGACTCTTCAGGGCGAGTATTACCTGAGTCCTGTAAAAAATCCTGCAATGTTCAGCATTTGGCTTTCAAAACAACCGAGTTTGTTCCGAGATGCACACAGAGCCTGTGGATTTGTAGTTTTTATTTGCCCATCAATATGACTGTACTTCCTACAAGGAAATGCAGTAGAATGTGTTACAAGATGTTTGAGATAATGCCCATGGCTGCACAGTGTAGACAGCTTGTAGTTTTCCCTCACGTGCCTCAATGCTTGTAGCTCTGTCTCAATATTTCAGGGGCTTTTCTCGATAGGAACAAGGGAAAAATGGTCTGTTCAGTGTTTGTCTGAATTGCCTCATGAAACAGTCATACAATGGCATAAACACTTTCATTTGGAGCCTTTCCCTTGTAACCAGAGCTCCATAATGGAATAATTACAGGCAGATCTTTACCGCCAACATTTCCCAAAAGGCTCACTTGTTCAGTTCAGAATTTTTACTTTCAGTTCTATGATCTGATAAGATATTGAATGCTCTGTTGTATCAGAGATTTTCCATTTGCTTTAGCTGGGCCAAAATATCCCATCTTTCCCCAAACCAGGCTGCTAAGTTTTTTTTTTCTGAAAACACAGGCCTTCAATTATTAAGGCCTTCCAAATATGCAAATGATAAATGACGTGTCCTGGATGTATGTGTGAAAAAAATATGTTAATAGATATTACTCCCTCCAGAGAAAATCATCTGATATGCTATAAATCTATCTGCAGGTACATGAAAGTGGTGGAAGCTTTGCCAACATATGGAGTTCATTACTATGGAGTAAAGGTCAGTAACTGCCTATAGATAATGTGATTGCTGAGCTTATTATGTGTGATTACATTCCTTTAGGAGCAGTTGGATGATTCAGTACTATTCTATCAGTATTAAAGCCCACATTTTTCAACCTCTGTAATTTTCCCCTCATTCAGTCTACTTTAAAAATTGTTTCCAGAGTGCAGCGCTATGTGCTACAGGAGGCAGAAAGGAATCTTTGTAAAACCTTCTGTAATCCTATCAGGATCTCAATTCCTATCACCTTAATTAAACTTCTATCACTTCTAGATCCGAAGCAGTTAATAGTTTCCCCAGAGACATTAATCAAGATGAGAAAAAAACACAGTGGGGAAAAGATTTATTTCTAAGTGGCAGGTGATTAGTGGTGCATGCTTGGAGTGGGGAAACGCTGAGAAATACCTTTGGAGAGTGATGGAAATACACCATTTATTCCCATTTGTAGAGCAGAGCCTGGGCCACAGTGCTTTGTGCCGAAGAGCTCAGCAGAGATGATATCTCCTTACTTTGAGTCATGGCCACGACTGTGGTACCTGAGAAGCTGATGTTTTGTGCTGTTCTCTCCATCTGTGGCTGGCCATGCCTGAATTCAGTGGATGCAGTCATTGGCCACGGTTTTTTCTGTCCCATGTCCTTCCCCCCTTCACAGCCACTCCTGCAACCGGTGAGACCCCGTTGTTTCAGCAGCACTGTTGCTTTTGTGTCCACCTTGCACAGCCACCACCTGGTTTTGTACCTCTGCCTGGAAAGGCAGGAGGAGAAAATGTCCACATTCACCCCAGCAATCCACTTCACATCAATTTGTTTGCCAGAAAATCTTTGTTCCATGCCTACTCGTGCTTGTCACGGAGCGAAAAGGGCTGTAATCTTGGAATTGCCTAATTCTTAAGTGGCTCTTGGTTCACATGGATGTGCATTTTTCAGGATAAACAAGGAATCCCGTGGTGGCTTGGAATAAGTTACAAAGGAATCGGCCAGTACGACTTACAAGACAAAGTTAAGCCCAGAAAAGTAAGTTTTTTTGCATCTGATTTTTTTTTTTTGGGGGAGGGGGGGGGGGGAGGAAGACAGGATGGTGTTGCATGTCAGAATGTACTTCTTTAAGCTGTTACTTAGCAGACTGGTGGGCAGAAGCCCAAGGGTGGGAGGCAGAAGGAAAATTCTGCTGGCACTGAGGCAGTAAATGTCTCCATCTCACACAGATAGTGGAAACTCCCTTTGGGAGCCTTGGCTTGCGTGTCTTGAGTTTGGTGGTCTCAGGAAGGGAATTTTGGCAGCCTCCAGGGATAACTACAGAAATACGAAACAACTGGGTTTCTGCAAGGCCTTTTACTCGAGCAGTGTTTTCACTTGGCTTTCGTACTTGTTTTGTGTGTGAAGTGTGAAAGGCCCCACTGATATCAGTGGAACACGAGGGGAGCTGCGTCAAATTGCAGGCTTGTTGAGGCAACTGCGCGTTCCCGTGAATGCAAAGGGGGGATTGAGAGTAAAAGCCAAGTACTGGAGGTCATACTTCTCCTTTTCCACCCTGCTGCTCCCCAGTGTGTCTCCTGCAGAGTAACTCTGCCAGCGACATCCCATGTTGTTTGAACAGGGCAGAGGGTCCTGCCTTGCTCTGCTGGCTCCCTCAGAGGCCCCGGCACCGAGCCCAGACAGGCTCTCCTGCCAGCAGCTTTGGAAACCCATCACACACCCAGCACACAGGATATTGGGATCTCACCCCGTCCTGTAGCTGCCTTGTGTCTCCTTGTGACAGGACTGAGCCCTGAAAATCTCTGAAGGGTGATTTAACCTCCTGGGGCTGGGGGCAAGCCAGGGCTGCACGTGCCAGAGCTGCGCTGCTGGGCTGGGGGTGTGGGGTGGGTTTTTCTCATCACGTCTTTGTTGAAACAGCCAAGCCATGAGGAGATGGAGACCTGGGGTTGTGCTGTTCTCCTTCCTCAGGAGTGATCTGGGCAGGAGTTCACATGAAGTTGTGCTCCCTGCCAGGGAATTTTACGTTTGCAAAATGATAGTGTTTAGTGTATTTGTGCCAAAAAAACTGAGCTTAACAAAACTTCCTTGTTAAGAGTAATTCCCCTTCAAGCTTCCAACTTGATCTTCTCTTTTTTCCAGAGAAGGCTATGAGTTGGTTTCTCCTGGTATATTTATATACCTGTGTGTCCAAGGTGATCTCTCATATCCTTCCTTTGCTTTCTTCAGTAAAGCAGCGTTTCATCCCAAATCTCTCTTTCCCCACCTGCACTAAATGACAGCGACACAGGAGGAACCCTGGGAAATCAAGTTATGTTAATGCAGCCATTGATGGTCAGAGGAGAACATCAAGGAGCAACTCTTGCCCCTGCGTGCTTCCCTGTTTTTAGGCAACATCTGTAAGGTTTTCCAGTCAGGAAAGGATCATTCTCCAGCCAAGATGTCCAACTGTGACCAGGAACGCTCTCCAAGAAAATGGAGCCTGCCTGGCTGGAAGCATTGCTTTGCCAAGCAGTTTTTGTGCTTGTGGGATTTCAAGTTTACAACATCAACCAGGCAGATTAAGAAAATTTTCTAAGGTCAGCAGGGCCCAGATACCAAGTCACACCCTGCTACAGTTAGTTATAAGGCGTCATTTTTAAATGCAGCAGGAGCTCTGTTTAAAAAAATAAATAAAAATCAGAGGTCACCTCTGTAGTGGAAGTGTTACAATGGAAATTACAATAGTTGTTGGCTTTACTGAAATCATAATTATACAGCAGAGGATAGAGATTAAAAGGGAAGGTGAGAGAGCAGCCTAAATGCAGATGGAAGGTTTAATGCCAGTAAGCTCATTTGAAAGTGTGGGGATGGATATGGCTGTAGTATCTTTAAGGATCTGTGTCTGGTGTCAGTGTGAGTGGACAAAAATTATTTAAGCCACAGCTTGTCCTGAGCCATGGCTGCTTTTAACATGTGTCTAAATATAATTGTAACAGGTTCTTTATAGGAGAAGTGTTTCAGGATTTGAAATAAAAATGCACTTCTGGTATGATCCATGGAAGTGATTGGAATCAGATCATTTTTGGTAGGAAAAGCAAAGGTCTAGAGGTTCACCCTGTCCAGATTTGGTTTTGGAATTAAAATGCTGAGATACTGCTGTTTATTTCAGTGTAGCTATAGCCTTGCTGCCTGGGATGTGGCAGGCAGAAGTTCCTTTCTATCAGTATTATTGTTTGCTCATATTTATGAATGTGTTAGAATTTCTTTCACAGAGAGAAGAGTATGTACAGCTTACCTAAATCTCCTAGGAATCAACAAGCACAGTCTTCTCTGTAGCAGTAGGCATGTGAACTATTCCTGTCTTTTGGAGCAGAGGTGCTAGTGCTATCCTTGCTGGATTTAGCAGAATTTTCTTGCTTTGCTTTTTGGGATGGAGCCAAACTCACAACTGCCATGTGCTGGTGTTATCCTGCTGTTTATACTGTGGATCAAAAGTTCTGTTGTGTTTATCCTTAGCCATCTGGGAAAGAGCATCCTCATTGTGTTCCACTTCTCCAGTTGGTGAGGTTTAAATATACATGCAGCTGATTAACTCAGTAAAAGGGAAAGGCTGAGTTCAAGTCTAATGAGCACCAAGCTGGCCTTTCCAAATTTTAAAGGTGCAAGTGGTCTCAGGGTCTGCAAACCTCTCTGATACTGGTTGTGGTGGGAAAGCTGTTGAGTTTTAGGCAGGAGGCTTTGAACAGGACTTGGTGCCTGTGCCCCATCTGAATTCACACCAGGGGGATTTATTCTGCTCCTCAAGTCTTTTCTGCAGTGCTGATGGCTGCTGTCAGATGTAGCTGTGTTTGCTTAATAACAGAATCATAGGCATTTAGCAAGAGCCAAGTCCATACTCAGAATATAATTTAAATTATAATAATACATATATATTTTAGCTGCACCCATTAATGCAGTGTCAGTTAAATCCAAGCAAATATAACCATCCTCCTCAAAAAGTGAAATCTTTTGGCTTTATCCAAGTAGGTCCTTAGGCAAAGAGACCTAAATATGAGCCTTGGAGCACAGTGGTTATCCCAAGATTTTGTTATTGGATCAACACTGTTGCACGAAGTCCAAAGGCTGAGAACTCTTCACAGGAAGCAACTTGCATGACAGCCCTGGATGAAGCAATCTCCAGATCCCTATCGCCCAGCCTTGCCAACACTTGTGCATCTGCCATCGCTCATCCGAGCGGGAAGCGCGTGGTGTCGGAGAGGACGGTGTGTGACTCGGGGCTGGACCAGGAGAACCTGCCGTGTCTGTCTGTCTGTCTGTCTGTCTGTGTAAAGCTGGCTGGGGAGGATTGACTCTGGCTATCCTGCTGGTTGACCTGAGGTAGTTTGGACGAGGGAGTTTTGTCGCTCCGGGAAGCTTGTATTGCTTTGGAAGTGGTTTCCAGCAAAGCGAGTCCCCCTCGCCCAGGGCTGCCAGCTGATGGGCACTGAGGGAGGCACTGTGCTCCAGCTCCACAATACACTGAAAATGGAGAGTTATTTTGTGGGTCATTTGTGGAAACTGTCTTTCTAGATAAAAGCAGTGGCTCCACGCTGGCCAGAGATTACATTGAGCTCACTTGATTATCATCCTGAAGTCTCACAGGGCATTAGAAAAGACTGGGTTTGGCAACCCTTGCTCAGATTTGAACTCAGACCTGGGATTAGCTCTGCTGTCCTGCTGCTTTGCAAACATATTCTCCCTTCAGCTGCAGTTAATACCAAGAGACACCTCCTGCTTGGAGAAGTGCCTCCTGCTTGCAGCGGGGTGGCATGCCAAGATCCTGTCCCCAGTCTCCTCTGAATCAATTAGGAAAAGCATAAACTAGGTCCCAGGACTTTGTAGTTCCAAAACAGATCTCCCTTTATCTCTAGCCTATTCTTTTCACTGGCAAGATAAACAATGCTTGTCTTGTTGATGGAGGGTGTATTAGGGCAAGAGTTGAGTTTGTTCTGCGTTCAACCAGTCTGTGGGGATCCTCTGAGGATTGGAGAAGGCAGCTTGCTGGCTTTTTGACTTGTTCTCCCACTTCATTGTGTTTCTGTGGGCGACTCCCTGGTGATAAATGAACTACAGTATCTGAAGAGAAGAACTAATCTTGCTCTACAGTGTTGTTTCAAATGTATAAGAAATAGATTCTGCTGCTTGATGCCTTGAATACATTGTATTGTCAGAAGTGTTTTTGTTAGTGTGTTCTACTTCTGAAGTGGGCAATGTTTGTCATGGGATGGTGTGGGCTGGAATGAACCTTTTAAGTCATCTAATTCCAACACCCCTGCCATGGGCAGGGACACCTGCCACTAGCCCAGGTTGCTCCAAGCCCCATCCAGCCTGGCCTTGGACACTTCCAGGGATGGGGCATCCACAGCTTCTCTGGGCAACCTGTGCCAGGGCCTCCCTACCCTCACAATAAAGAACTTTTTCCCTGGCTGGATTTAATCCTATCAGGGCTTTAGCTTTCCTAGTGAGATTCCTGGCTGCTCAGACAATTTCTGTGTATTCCTCCCGCCCTCTGTAGGGTTCCTTTTTTGTGTCTGAGTTTGTTCAGGAGCGTCTTGCTCATGCACACAAGCCTCCTGACGTTTTTGCCTGACTTTGTTGGGTTGCATTGCTCCTGAGCTGTGAGGAGCTATTATGATATATCTCTCTTAATTCAACATATGCTAAGAGCTGATGCTGAAAGTTTTCCCTTGCAGAACATTTACTTGATGTAAATTTGCTGTCGTGCTTTGCTGAATGGTTCAGAACACAGCAGCATTGGCTTCTCAGACAGTTCTAATTAGGCAGAAATTTCTTTTATGGTGTTTATTTCTCACCAAGCCGTTGATTTAGACAGAAGATACTAAGCTCACATAATTACTTAAAATAAACACAGAGCTGTTATGAGACTGCTCTGAAATTCAGTTGCTTCCAGATGTGCAGAAAGTTGCTTGAATGTCACCTGCCCCAAAACACACACGTTTGGGGACAGTTTGGTGCTGAGACATCTCTCATTAATGCCAGCACTAGTGAGGACCAGGCAGGGACTGATCATGATGTGCTATTAAAAAAAATGTGATTGAAGAGGTTTTTAGAGGACTGGCTTAATATTTAAGAGATGAAGGATGCCTGCAGGTGAGCTCTGCCAGATTATGCTGGCACAGGTGGGAGCTGTCTGCCTCCTTCCCTCAGAAGTTGCTGCAGGTGGGGCATTTTGGCTGTCTTGCCATCTCCTCCAATGCCTCCCTCCACAGGCAGGCACAGCAGTGTAAAGCAAAAAGATCCCAGATGAAGGCAGGATGCCAGACAGCAAAGTGCAGCAGAGGGGCTGAAACACAGCCCTCCTTCCAGCGCTGCTGGCAGGGTGGTAATTTCCTTCGTCGGGTGGGGTGCATTCCTGTGGGCAGAAATCTTTTATGTTTCCTTGCTCAGAATTGCCAGATTGGTCTGCAGATTGCTGTTCCCAACCAGTTCCTGAGGTGCTGGTTGCAGAACCTCCTTACTAACACTGCACGTACCACGAGGTGCTTTGGAAGTGCTTCCCGAGGGAAAGGCTGCTGCAAACAGTGCAGCGTGGCTTGCACTTCCATGCTGACTTCACCCAGTGATTCCCTTGGGTGGAAATTCGGAGATCTGGGTGATTGAGCTCTTGGTCAGGATTTGCCATCAACCTTGCAAAGATCTCAGGTACAACCTTGGCATGTGCTGTGCCTGGCACAGCATTGTGTGGCCACACAGCTCCTCACTCTGCTGCTCTCTGGATTTTCACCTCCTTGCAAAAAAAAAAAAAAAAGTTATAAAATACCCCCCTAAAACATTTTTTCTAAGCAAAATCCAACAGGCTCATAGGAATATTGAGCCAAGGCCCTGGAGCAGCTCTCTTGAACGCCTCTCAAGGCAGGGGCTCTGCCAGCTCCTGCCTGCAATCCTGATGGGGCCGTTTTTCTGAGCCAGTTTGTTCCTGCTGTCAGGCCCGGACAAACTTGCATTTTATTCAAAACTGGATGCAAGATCAGCCAGGTAAAAAGCCAGCTGCTTCTTTAGTCGATGTGCCTCACCCTTTAGGCAGTCTGTGTCTGCTTGGTCACCTTGGACCACAGCTAGAGCTCTTTTTCTACAGGAAAGAGGGTCATCTCTTTTTTTCCTTCAGTGTTCCCCTGGTATCTGGAAGAGGATCACGGTAGAAATGCAGAAAGCCTAAACTCGTGGGCTGGGAAAGCAGCAGCTGGGTGGTAGGAGTCTGGCTGGTACACAGAGGTGCCTGAGTAATGAGGTGTGATCAGAGCTGCACGTCTGCTTTTTCCAAGAAGACCCAGAAAACCAACTGTGGCCAGACCAAATTCTTCCCAAAAAGTCATTCAGGCAGCCCCTGTGATGCTCAGTGGGAGTTTTTGGGAGCCTTTAAGGATCTGGCAACATACGTGGATGGGAAGGCTATTAAGAAAACATTAATTAGCTCAGGTGGACTTAATCACCTGGTTAAAGGGAACATACATTGCAAAACTTCCACAAAAACATTTTAATTATTCCTAATTGTTCTTCCAGCCCTCAAAAACCAGTTCCAGATTTCCAGATTTATTTTTTTTTTTAACAACTCTTTTGTCTTTAAATATTCATGTAGTTTAGGTAAGATTGAAATTAGGAATTATTTAGGAGCATGTCTGTACAGGGTTAGGGAGTATTTGAAGGGAGCAGGATATCTCTAGTGCAGTGACAGTTTCCCAAGTGTTGCCTTTTGACCACAAGTTAGAAAAATTTAGGGGAAGAAGTTTATTGCTTTTTTTACCTTTGTGTTGAGGCCCTTGTCTTCATGAATCCAGGCTTGTTAGGCAGAAACTTGCAACACTGTAATTCAAGATTATTTTTAAGTGCATCTATATAAATATTATTAGCTCACAACTTATTCTGAAGCTGCTCATTTAGTCATCAGCCTTTTTTTTGAAGGACCTGACTAAGGAGGGTTTGTCGGAGGAGCTGATTGCTAAGGAGCTTATATTGTTCTTCAGTGAGATAGTTTAGGGACAGGGCACTTTTCAGTCCATAAAAGCAAAAATGTGTCCTGGGTGCAAAATTACAAACACTGCTCTGCCATCTCTCCTGCTGAGGAGCAGCAGAGGGGGGAGCTGGAGTTATCCCAGTCTTTGGGCAGGAAGGCAGATGTCTTTGTGCTGAATGTACCCAGCTGCAAATGCTTGGGGTGCCTGTCAGCTCCTTTCGGACTGGGATGGATCTCACAGGGTGGGGAGGAAACGGGGCAAAGCTCTACCCACATCCTGAGGCAATTCCATGCAGGTTTCCCTAAAAACGCAAAGGGTTTGTTTGGTTGTTTTTTTTCCTTCTCAGCACTGCAGATGATCACAGTGTGTTGGATTTGCACAGGCTCATGGAAGGGTCCCCCTGGACCCTGGGAGTGCTGATATGTCCCTCTGTCTGGACAGGAGGCTGCTGTATTTTGCCCTGCAAAACACAGCCCTCGTCACCCCCTGCCACCCTTTGGACAGGTGACCCTTTCCCCCCCGCAGCCCTTGGGAATGTCGAGTACGTCCGGAGGGGAAAAACCCAAAGGAAGTGATAAAGGGGACGGGGAGTCATCACCCGTGACGATAAGAGGCGGTTTTTTATCCAGAGGTCATGTTTGAAGCACGCCCATCGCTTTTACGAGCGTGGGAGCGGGCGCCGGGCTCGGCCGGGAACGCCGCGATGATGCTTCTGGTCGAACCTGTTGCCTCTGGGTGTGAGTCAAGGGCAGCGGGGCTGAGACACGGCACCCTGCGGACCCCATGGCAGCCCCCACCCCGCCCTGCTCCCACCTCAGCCCCCTCAGGGGCTCGGGGTGCTCGAAGGGGTGCAGCCCCTCGGTGGAAGCCGCCTCTGTTCCCTCCTCCGTCGGGTTTTCCCATTATCGGGGCAAAGGGTGTGTGGGAGGCGTTGCGGCAGAGGTGGTGATGTCAGGAGTGTGTCAGCAGTGGGAGGCGAAGCTGCCAAAGCGGAGCAGCACGAGAGGGACACGGAGGGACAGCACAGGCACCTCAGCTCTGCTCTGCTCTGCTCATGTTGCCCCTGAAGCTGCCCCGGGGGGCCGGGAATCCGGGATCAGTCCCGAGGGGAGGTGAGTGCGGGATGGGGGGAGCAGCCGTGACCGTGCTGGGATCCCTCCCTGCTGGAGCACCCACGGGCACTGTTGCTCAACATCCTGACATAATGCTTGGGCTGTTTCCTTTTGTGTCTTTTAAAATGTATTTATTTAAAAGTCCAGTGCCAGATTTGTAAAGAGGCACTTCCGAGAGCAGCGTGATCGGGCAGAGGGGCTGTAAGACAAACTTGCTTAGGCAGCAGAGTAAAACTTCCACGATCTTCTGGAAAAGGATTTATTAATTTAAGTAAATTGCATTTCCACTTGCTTCACTTTTCCTATAGCATGTTTCAGTATTCAGTTGTAGTCCTAGAAAGGAAACCTTCCATTAAACAGAGGTCAAGGCTGCTGAAAGAGCCACTTTTCCCCCCCATATACATGCTCTGTGTTATGCTTCATTGTGTTAAGAATGTTTGAGATGCAGCACAGTGGAACACGTTGTTTCTTACAAAACTCGAAGTGGTTCTGTAGTGGGAGGGAGCACATCAAGTCGGGTTTTGGCAGAGGTCAGTGGGAATGTTGTGTGTCCTCGGGGTTTCTGGTGTGGTGGCTGCACCCTTGGAGGTTTTGGAAAAACTCCACTGGGGAAGGGGGTGTTGCTGTGAGGGTCTGGGTGCCTCAGCTGGATTGCTGGTGTTGGAGGCTGATTTGCCACTGGATGGTGTCCCTGCCTGCCCAGCCTGGATGGAAGTGCCTCTGTGTGGGCTGTAGCTCTGGAAAGCAGCTGGATGTAAACTACAGTGTGCTGCTGCACCCGTGCACCCCATCGTCCTCAGGGGACATTGCTGGGGACACCCAAACAGCCCCTGTGCCTGCCCAGGCACCTTGGCACTGCTGGAGAGGGGCAGGAGGGGGTGCTGCCAAAACCTGCACTGAGGGGCCGGGGAACAGCTTGGCCAAGGCTGGGCTGAGAAGATGCAGCCCCTGGTGGATCATCCCCAGAGGGTGGCTGGTGCTGGTGCAAAGGGAGAGCAGATTCATATGAAATTCTGATCCCACGGGTGCAGCTGCCAAGCCCTGACTGCCTTTGATCTCTTCTCCCAGCTGGTCCTTTGCAGGAAATATGTGGTTTTCTGACAGAAGTGTGTGCTGGGGGGCGGCTTCCTCCTGTGGCCGCTCTCTCTCTGCACATGGTGTATCCCTGCTCCAAAATGTCACTCTGGATCTCACACACTGCCTTCAGAGGAGCAAGGTCTTGGTTTTCCCAAGCTGCTGCCATTCCCTGGGGATGTTCTGACTGAAGGACCATAGGTGTCTATGCAATTACTTTGTAAAAAGATTTTCTGTTTTAGTCAGAGACAAAAGGACTTGAACTGCCCTCATAATACTTCTGGGAACTTGTAGCAGTGAAATTAAATGTGGTATTGGTGGAAATGGGTGTTGTCACTGGCAGAATCCCCAATTTGCAATGCATTGTCTGTAAGAGTGTGAAATTACTGGAGGGGTATCCTACATATTTATATTTATGTGCTTCTTTTAATGGATGTTGTTATTGCTCAGTCCATGCCATAGGTGAGGATACACAGCAATTGTAATTTGCTGAGATTATATCACCTTGGAGAGAGAGGTCTGGTGGTTTTTTAGTGACAGTGTTCTGGTTCTCTCTCCCAATTCTCCTAGCTATTTCAATGGAAACAGCTGGAAAATCTCTATTTCCGTGAGAAGAAATTTGCTGTGGAAGTACACGATCCCCGCAGGTAAGGCTGGAGGAGGCAGCTGTGCCAGCAGGATGAATCTTTACCCACAGTGGGGATTCATCATCTGGTGTTGGTGGATGGGGTGGGAGGTGTCTCTGAGTTCAGCACAGACAGGAGTTTACTTTGGGCTTTAGGACTGATCCTGATCCAGCATTTGACAGGGGCTGGATCCGGGCTGTGGGTAAAGAGCAGTGCTGGGATGTTGCAGAGGGAAGGTCCCTGTCATAATGGGCAAGCTGGAGAGACTGCTGATGTGTTAGAGCTCTGGGTGTCCTCTCAGACTGCCTGTTGTGTCCACTGAGGGAGTTTGTGGAGCAGAGGGAGGACTGTTTGTCGCGGCCAAATTTGCGGCAGCACTGGGTGATGGGGAGAAGGAAATCTTGAGTTTTTGCATCTCCAAAGGCTGAGCCTTGCCTGGTTAAGAGAGAGGCATTTGGGACTTTAGGGACCTGTCTTGAAATTGCATTTGTTTTCACCTCCTCAGAATTTCAGTGTCGAGAAGGACCTTTGGCCAGAGTGGACTGGTAGTGCAGACCTGGTATGCAAACACTTCCCTGATCAAGTCCATCTGGGTGATGGCAATCAGTCAACACCAGTTTTACTTGGACAGAAAGCAAAGCAAAGTAAGTTATAAGGCATTTTACTGAGGACATGAGTTTCAGCACCTTTCCTGTATATACCTTGGTGTATGTTTTTCCACAAATGAACTGCTCTCCAGAGGAAAACTATAAATTGTTTTTTGTGAGTCTTTTGAGCCGTCTGTTAGTGACAGTATTGCTATTCGATCCATTTCAGCCTCCTGCAATTAAGGGCTGTGGAAGTATAATTACAGAAGAGGGAATTCCCACGTCTGGGTGTTTAATCTGCTTTTTCTTTTGTCTCCTTCCTGTGTTTGTTTTGAACACAGTGCAAACAGCAAAGAGATTTTTGAGCTGGGAGATTGGTTCAGGTTTTGGGGCAGAGGAGAGAGGGATGGCAGGACTGATGCTGTTTCTTTAGCCCTTAATTTTGCGGTAGATGAGGTGTGAAATGTCATCTTCCATGATCCCATGTCCTGAAGTTAATTAGAGGTAACTCAATGAGACTGGATTTTTTCTTTTTTTTTTATAACTCCTTCAGGCAAAAATTCCTTCAGCCAGAAGTTTGGATGATATCGCCATGGATCTGACAGAGATGGGAACACCAAAAGTTTCAAAGCTGGTGACTCTGGAGGCCAAGAACCAGCTTATCATGGCCAGCAATGGCAGTTTGATCTCATCAGGTAATACTGTGTGTAAATGTGAGGTAACCAAGTACAATAAGGTTTGTGTGTGTTAAAAGGAGACAGACTAACAGATGATAATAATGGCTTTTACCTGGAAATCCTCTGATAACAGAGTGTGTTTTCTAGGCTCTCAAGATTCAGAGGTCAGTGAAGAACAAAAGAAGGAGAAAATTATGGAACTAAAAAAGAAAGAGAAACTCCTTCAGGAAAAACTGCTTCAGAAAGTTGAGGAGCTGAAGAAAATCTGCCTGCGAGAGGCGGTGAGAGAACTGCGCCTTATGCTGGGGTGGGGTCGGTGGGAGCCCTTCTCTCCCACTGGACCTCACCTGGACCCTCTCTGTTCCCCAGGAGCTGACGGGGAAGATGCCCAAGGAGTATCCTCTGAGTGCTGGAGAGGAACCTCCCCAGGTGAGGAGGCGTGTTGGCACAGCGTTCAAGCTGGATGACAACCTGCTCCCAAGTGAAGAGGTGAGTGCGGCACTTTGTTTTCATAGCACGGGTGGGGTGGCCAGACCAGTGACCAAAGCCACTTGTAAATAATCCAACTCTTCCCTGAATGTTAAAGAGGAGGCAGCTGGGACAGTCACTTGCATAGAGTGGGAAATTTAGATGGGTACTGCCCTTCTTCTGCCTTTGAAATGACCAGGAAATTGTCTGCTTGAAAAGGCCTTAAGTTCTCCCAACCTGAACCTCTGATTTGTCCGTGCTGCATGAATTTTAATGGACATTTTGCTGCTAATTAGAGGAGAGCAGGTGCATGATGCCATTTGGCAGCCCACGGCTCTGAGCTTTTCTGGAACATTGACTCGTGTCGCGTTGGGATTGTGTTTAAACCCAGAAGGTGGCAGGGGTGTGCACTGTCCCCCTTGCAAAATCATCTGTTTGTGAGCATAGCTGTGTGACAGGTGACAGGAGGAGGAGTTTTTATCTCTAGCTTAATGCAGGTTCCACCTAAGTAAAGCCTCTGTGCATTGCTCAAGAAGCTAAAATGAACTTTGCTGGCAGAGACTGGCTCGGGTTATATGGTAATTCAGATATTTGCAGTTTCTGGATGCACATCGTTCCCCCTCATTCCTGGTGAGATTTGTTAACAAGCTGTATCATCCAAGCAGCAAGTAGGTGTGGGGCACTTGGCATCTGTCTTTCACCAGAAACTTGCTGCCCTGGCTGGCAGGGTTGGTGTGCTCCATGTCTGCAGCAAAGTGATTTTATGTGACTGCTTAAATGCTTTGAAACCAAAATCCTGCTGACCAGATTTAATAACGTGTTGCTTAGCGCTTCTGTAGTGCCTTTCATCTGAGCTTCTCAAAGCAGTTTACAAACAATTAATTAAAGCCTCCAACTCCCTGTTACGTAGGTATGGTGATACAAATTTCCATTTTTATTTTCTCCAAAGTAGAGAGAGATTTTGAACAAGATTATTTCAGGGGTGGACTCGTAGCAGGAGGTTTAGTAGCCTAAACTTGAATTTAGGTGTCTGTGTTATGTCACCCAGGCCTGAGAACTTCGGACTTGCCCAAGAGATCTCATGATCTTACACTACTCATAGAAATAAGATCTAAGAGTTTAATATGCTGAGATTTTCTTGTGTATAAACTTTGGTATTTCTGTATTTTGTGCTCAAGATTTCACTTCGTTACTGCAAAAATAGATGTTCTATTTAATAACTTTGATTGATAATTTCTGCCTGGAGCATGAGGAAATAACTCATGTCACAAATTTGCAGGATCCTACTTTGCAGGACTTGGAGAGCAATTTTATCATACACCAAAAGCTGGTGGAAGCTGCAAAGAAACTTGCCAGCGAGCCAGACCTCTGCAAAAATGTGAAGAAGAAAAGAAAACAAGAGTATGCTGATGCTGTAAAAAAGCTGCAAGAGATAGAAAATTCCATAAATGAATATAGAATCAAGTGTGGCAAAAAACCAACCCAGAAATCAACTCTTGCTCTACCAGGTAAGCTGGAGAATTCCCCACCTTCTGATGAAAACAGGATGGAAGGGGGGGGCCAAAAATAATTTGGCTCACTTAGAAGCTTTGTTTACATCTTCTCTGTATGGTTTTTATCTTCTCCAAGGCAGTTAGATAAGAAAATAAAAGATGCAATTGCTGCATCTGATACTCTCAGTGCACTGCTGTAGGCTGGGGGCAGAGCAAGCTGCAGTTTTAGGAACAAGTACGGACAAGTTCAAGCACCAGGTATGGACTGAAGGTGCTGCACACAAAAAGGCTGTCAGGAACAACTTGGATGAAGCTTTTCTGATGCCTGAATTCCTGGTGTATTGAGTGCAGTTGCTTGTCTGAGCAGCCACGTGCAAAATCTCTCCCCTTTTCCTCCCACAACGCTCCAGTTTGAGCAAAAATAGAGCAATGGGGGATTTTTCTGCAGGATCCAGGAAATAAGGATCAAAGACATTGTTTCTTGATTTGAAATACCAGATTTCCAGGAAGACATAAGTGAAATTCAGGAGTTGATGAATGTAAATAGTAGCAAACAGATTTTTGACTAAATCCATTTGCCAATGGTGAGCACGTTGAAAGCAGATACCCTTGGCTCCTCCATTCTGAAAATGTGATTTTCCTAAGGGAGGCAAAGTTCTTTCTGCTTCATAGGATAATGTGCAGAAACCTGATAGTATCCAAGGCAATTGAAGGAGTTTGGGAGTAGTAAAAACTCAGGAGTATTGTGACTCTTATAATCTCTATAGTTATTAACAATTTTAGGTCATGTTTTACTTCTCCCTTTCATGGAAAATGTATAGGAGTAATGGCTAATGTTTAACTGATTTATTTACTCACCCCTAGTCTGAGAGGAAATGCTGTTTTGTGAGCTCAGTGGGTTTCTTCCTGGGAATTACAGGGTGGGAAAGAAAATGCAAGATTTTTCTGCTGTTTATATTGGTACCCTCTTACTGACCCTGTTGCCAATGTGTGTTTTCCCTGGAAGAGAACCTCCTCCTGTGCCAGATGTCTGTTGGGGAAACCTTTGCCATGTCCCATTCTTGTTGAGGGCTTAGTTTGGGTCCTTACCCCTCACACGTCATGGCAGTGCTGGGCTGTCCATCATCGCAAGGTGCTTACTCTGAAAGGCTGATGATCTCTGTTTAATGTGGCCCAGCTAGTTCCTGATTGACAGAGAGGAAGGAAACATCTGTTTTTCCAGTCTCTTGCTCACCAGTCTGGGTACTGATTGTGAAAGGTCCTGTATTACCTGCGACACGTGGTGTGTGGTAACGAGCAGGAAGGGCAGCGAGCAGTGAGAGCCCAGCAAGGCAGCATCCATCCAGGCTGCTGTTGTTTTTGCTGGCAGCTTTCTGTCCTGTTGTGCAAACAGGCAGCTTGGGAGTTGGTCCTTATGCATTTAGCCCATCATTTAATATGTGACATCCTTGTTTGCTCTCTGAGAAGGTGGGCACAGCCAGACAGGATCAGACTCTGTGTCTCGGAGGGTCTCCCAGGAGTCAGGGACTGCAAGACAGGGAATACTTAGCCAGCAACGAGCACCTGCATCCCTTCCAGTTCCAGGTTCTTGCTCTGCAGTGTGTATTTGTTAACCTGAAGCAGAGCTGTCATCTGCTTCAATAATTGATTTTATGTGTAAACTTGTCACCATCACCAGCGGTACTCTCAGGCTCGAGGTACAGCTTTCAGAAGGCTGAGCAGTGATGAGTCACTTGTGTCTGTGAGTTTGGGGATGACTCGTTGGAAATAATGTGTTACATAGTACTATTGATTTATTGAATCAAATCATAGCTGTTTTCATGCCAGCCCCAAGGGATAGGAGGTGAAGGAAATGCTGGACTGCTCCCCATGTTCCACTTTCTCTTTCCTTCACTTCCTCTGTAGCCCAGAGTTTCTTCCCCTTTTGCAGGGAATTGCATGGATTTGGGATTCAAATTCAGATATGTCAGCATATCTGAATATGTCAGCACTGCAGACCCCACCTGAAACCAGCAGTGTAGCTTTAGGCTTTAGCTTTCTTCTTTTCCTAGGCAGGTTTTTTTCCCCTCCCTGCACCGGGCCCAGTTCCATCTTTACCACCCCACGGTCAAATCCACGTGAATCAGCTCCCCTGAAGCTTTTTCCCGGTGTCAGGTTGCAAAGAGAGCTGCAGCCCATCCTCGGTGGTCTGACAAGTCCCTCCAGGGCAGGGGCCAGCCCTGATTTTTTGCTGTTCTTGAACAGCTGCTCTCTTTACCAAATTCTTGTAACCAGACCTTTCCTCGCAGCAAGTTGTGACGGCGGGGGAGCAGCGTGCGCTGCCAGTGCAGCCTAATTTCTCTGCTGGTCTGCTCCAAACTTTAGCAAGGACAGGCTGTTTCTCAGTGAGGTGCAGCGTGCAGTATCAAGGTGAGAGGACAGGCAGGTGCATTGTAAAGTGCTTTGAATAAATAATAAAATGTAAAAGAAACCAAAAATTTGTATGTCGGTGCAACAGTTTCTGCTTTCTGTGTTGCTGGAATTTGCAATAACTTGGTGGAAATCAGTGGAATTATTCTGGATTGATATTAATTTAATTGAAACAGAATCTGCTGATGAAACATTCAAAAATGAATGCCGAATTTCAAAAGGCTTTTTGTACCTACCTGGTGGGGTTTCAGGTGTACCTGGGGGAGATTAGATGCTAACAGCCAAGATCTACATGTCTGTGTAGGCTCCTGATCTCCAAAACATCCTGTGAGATCTGTTGGAAGTTGGGTGGAAAACACCTTTGTAAATCTTGGCCCGATTCCTGCTGCAGATGAAAATAAAAATCTCCTTTGATAGTTGCCTGGGTCGCTTGCTGAGCTGCAGCAAAGACACGAGGTGATGACATGAAGCAGGACTGTCTTCAGGCTGTGGGGGCTAAAGCATATAGGTTGCAGCATAACAAATAATAGCTGGCTCTGAAACTGTAGAAAACAAACTGTGTTAGGATATTTTGATGTTGGGTCTCCTATGCCTAAAGTGTTTGTTTTCATTCACAGATGATATAATTCCATCTGAGAGCAGCTCCCTGTCTGACACAACCACCTATGACGATGGTATGATGTTTATCCTTCTCTTCCTATGGAGTGTGTCCATTCAGAGTCATTCCTTTGACTTCATGTCCTTTAGCATTTCCCACCCCTGGAAGTGTTCAAGGCCAGGTTAGGTGGGGTTTTGAGTGACCTGGTCTAGGTGGAAGGTGTCCCTGCCTGTGTCAGGGGTTTGGAATTAGATGATCTTTAAGATCCGTTCCAACAAAAATCATTCCATGATTCCATGATATTGGTGGCTTTCAATGACAAATTACTTTGTAGCAGAGGAATAACAGCTTATCAGGAATGTCTTTCCTCTTAATGGGTTAGTTCTTGAAAGTTTCTGCTCTGTAAGCTGATCTGAGTCATCTTTAGAGAAGGCAATTGGTTTTAACACAACCAACCTTCAAGCTGAGGGCACTGTGGATGGCAAACACTAGATCCTTAGGACCTGGCCAGAACTGGATGAGAGGCTGAAGGACATAGAGGTTTGGAGGGTTAGCCCAGCCCTTCTGTCCTCACAGCTGCTATAAAACTTACAGAAAAGTAGAATGGTTGCAGATATTAACGCTCTGTTTACATTTATTTGTTCCCTAGTGAGCTTGCATCTTGCTTGGGTTGGTGTTTGCTCAGCTTACTCATTTCACACACACACCCACAGACACATACTCACACCCTGTTCCACCAGGTGGAAAGGTCTTGGCTTGCCTCTCCCTTAAACTGGATAATCATCATTTGGGGACAAACATTATCTAAATTATTACTCACTTTTCAGTTCGGGCCGGATTCTGATCTCACTTTGTCCCAATTTTAGACTGGTACAACCCATCTGGTGCTTTAAAATGGAGTTACACCTGATTGCTGATTGTACAAGTAGAAATAGAGCCAGGCTTGTGAACATGTTCTCTGTGATGCTCGACCTGCATTTATATGTATTAGTTGGAGTTTCCTGTTGGCTCTGTCAGGACCTGAGTTGTGCCCTAAGCAAAGTGAGAACAAGGATCAAACCAGCATCTTCCCAGTTGCCTTCAGCCAAATGTGTCTGTCAGTTGTCTTTGCTCATTCAGTCACTTTTGAAGTCAGTCCCTTTTAGGTTTTATTTCAAAACTAATTCTTAAAATGTCATTTTCAAGTAAGAGTTAGAAGATGAGGGATGGGAACCGGTCTTTGCAGAGGCTAAGCTTGCCTGCTTGGCCCTGGAAAGGATTGCTCTGCAAACAGAGTTTTTTCCAGGGAAGGTCCATTTTGTGATCTGGCACAGCCCCAAGGTGGGTGTAATCTCTGTAGGAGTCGGTGGTGCTGGGATCTGTAGAAGCCTCCACAATTTCCTGTCTGCGTGGAGGGGAGCTCAGTGCAGGCAGGAGAGCCTTTCTAGACCCACAGCCTCTGCCCTTGTCTCTGTAGTGCAAAGTGCTTCTCCTTAGGGGCCACAGATTTGTATGCAGGGCAAAACCACCAAGGCTTTTGCTAACAAAATACGCATTCCTTTCCAACAGTCAGTGAATCGCTTCCTGTGGCAGCACAGAGACCCAGCTCTGCACAGCTTTCTCCAAGGCTTCCTCCACCCAAGTCCCTCGGGGTGGAGAGAATTCATCTCAGAAAGTCGTCCATAAACGAGCAGCTCTTGGAAACCAGACACTCCAGGTAGGCACATCCTGCTGCTGCAGTGCAGGTGGAGAACCTGCTGGCATGAGCTCCATCCTGCCCCTGCCCAGCCCCTGCCACTGCAGAACACTCCTCCCTGGCAAATTCAAAAGTCAGATTATAGCCATATGTAACCATTTATCTGTGATATGCTTCATCTTCAAACTCAATTCCTTTGCTTCTCTGTTACCTGCTCTGTCTCTTCTCCTCCATGTTTCTGCCCTTTGGTAGCAGCTTTTCCTACCAACCGTCCCGTGAGGATCGAGAAGGGGTGGAATTTTTCTTCCTATTTAACAACTTTGTCCTTTATACAGGGAAACACGTCCAGTTGTGCCCTTCCCTGCTTGTTCTGCCCTTCTTTTTTTTTTTTTTTTTAATCTCCAAGACTTTGGAGCTCATACACTCAGTGTGGTACAACCTGTGTCTAACATAAATGGGATTATCTCCTGTTACAGGGACGTGCTCTCGACCCACAGCAGCCCTTACCGGACACTGGAGCGGCCGCCCCAGCCCCACGGCGGGAGGAGCATGCCCACAACCCCTGTGCTCACACGAAATGCCTACAGCAGCAGTCACTTACAGTAAGGGGCCTTTGCTTTAAGTGCCATGTCCACCTTAGGCAGCAGAAAAATAAAAGTAAATGGTGTTGAGAGGGTGAAGGGTCCTTTGCCACGCAGCTTTCCCTGCTGCAGGGTCTGGCTCTCGAAGTGTAAGTCAGTGCCATTACTGTGGGAAGAGAGCTGCAAGAGCCCACCTGCATTATTAGACAGCTGAGAATCCACGCTGGGGAAGGGGGCATGCTGTGAATCTTCCAGTGTTATCAAGAGCCCAGGGTTGGTTGGTTTGGGGTGATGCAGGTTTGGGAGATAGAGCCACAGGAGTGCCACCTTTCCATGTTCTCCTATCTTGTTACTTGTGTAGGCTTTACCTGCTTAAAAACTGAAGGAGCCCTCCTGTAAATCATTACCAAATGCGTGTTTGTGACCTTCGCTGTGTGTGCCCCTGTCACAGATTAACCTTGCTCACTGTGACAGATTATTATGCGAGAGATCTCCCTAGTGTTGCAGTGAGAACAAAATTCAGCCAAACTGAGTCTCTTGCGGTGCAGATATTCTGTGAGGAAAGATAAGGCTGGGTTTGCGTTGTGCTTGGATCGGGGAGGCAGCTGACAAGTCCGTGCTTGCCCTCTCCAACTCTGTGTGTGTGTTTGTGTGACTGCCTTCAGCCGACCAACATCTGTGTTGTTTCAGGCCAGATGTTTCCCCACACCACTGCCGGCAGCGCAGCGGGAGTCTGGAATCCCAAACCCACCTGCTCTCCGAGACTCCTGCTGAAAAGTCAGCCTTCACCCTCTCCAAGTCGCAGCGAAGCAGCAGCACGGAGATCCTCGACGACGGATCATCCTACACGAGCCAGTCCAGTGCAGAGTATTACTGCGTGACACCCACTCCCAATCCATATTACACTACTCAGACACTCGACAACAGGACCAGGGGTCGAAGACGGTCGAAGAAACACAACATTTCCGCTGCAAATTCAGGCAGTATGCCAAACCTCACCCATAAGGATGTCCGCAACGGTGTCTACCACAAAAATCAGGAGCAGCCTTCCTCTAACTACTATATCTCTGGATATTCCCCGTACGCCGAGCCCGACGTTTATTACAATGGAGGGTATGTCTATGAGAGTGACACGGAGGGGCAGTACAGCGTCAATCCCTCCTACCGCTCATCGGCCCACTACGGATACGACCGGTACAGGGAGTTCAGGTCTTACCACGAGGACGAGGTGGACAGAGTGCCACACAACCCCTACGCAACCCTGCGGCTTCCCAGGAAGCAGGTTGCTAAAACGGAGCACATAACCAAAAACATTCACAAGGCCTTAGTAGCAGAGCACCTCCGTGGTTGGTACCAACGTGCCTCCAGCCAGAAGGAGCAGGGTCACGGCCTGCAGGCAGGCTTTGAGTCTGACAGAGGATCTCAGAGGAGTTTGGGCTTTGCTGGTCTGCAGACGCCGTGCTCTCCGAGCAGTCGGGTGTCGTCTTTCTCTTCAGGTAATGTCTGAATTCATCTGTGCTGAGTGGTGTTGTAAGTCCCTGCTGTGCATTCAGTTCTGCCTCACTTTGCTGCCTAAATGAAACCAGAGTGAAAGCCAGGCTAGAGCTCTGTCTTGAAAGGTGGATGAGGAACCGAGTAAGATCTTGTTCCGTTCTTGGGAAGAAGTCTTGATTGTTGCCTTCTCCTAAGGGTAAAACTTCCTTTTGCTCTTTGTAAGCTCAGTAGTCCAGAGAGGCACAAAGAGCCAAATGTGTTTCAAACAGGTGTATTTACCAACTAGAAGCAATGTGCAAAACTTCATGCCATGTAAATGCAGTGGCTGTGATGGCTTCCAAAGCACAGTCCAATGGACACCACTGAATGGGTCAGAAAGTCTCTTCAAAGAGATTCCCTAGCTTCAGGACACCATCTGTGCTTTCCTCCCAATTTTGTGTTTGCACTGTCTTGCCTGAGTGTCCTGCAAAAAACCCATAGAGATCACACAGGAGAATTGTCCTTTTTGCCTCTGCTGATTTAGCTGGAGAAACATCTAATTTGTTCTAATTACCTTTTTATTGACTTACAGCATCTTCTGCAAACACTGCTGGGAACTGGAGAAACCCAGTTGCACTGGGACTTTCAGACTATGATACGTTGTCTCATTCCTCTTATGCCAGCTGTTATGGGAATGTTTATGGCAACCTTCCTTTGCAGAGCAGGTGAGTAGGGTATATCCAGGTTTTCTGCCCTTCCTCCTGCATTTCACAGGCTCTCAAAACTTCTGAGAAAATCAGCTTTAAAATCAGCTTTCTTTCAAAGAGCCAGGATGGAAGAATACTTGTAAAACTGGTGTCTTGAGAGCAGGTTTTCTCTGTGTGGAGTAGATCAGCTGTGCCATCACTAACTGTGCCCCTGACTGTCAGGGAAGGGGGGAGCAGTCATAGTGAAGGGTGAACTCATTGGTTGCACAGCCTTTTCCTCTGGCTGATGCTGGACCATCAGAGATTTTGCACTCCCTGGTGGCTGTGATGCTCTGAGCAATGTTATGAGCCCAGTCCCTCTCATTCCCTGTGTTGGGGGGGGTCTCTCCTGCACCCCATCAGCAGGTTTGGCAGCACACAGTCCTGCTGTGTTTCTGAAGCTGAAGTGCTTATGCTGATGAACTTTTGGAAAAACAAGGAGAGGAAACAGCTCCCTGCAGCCTCATATCTTAGTGCTGGCATCCAAGGGCAGTACCACCACTGCCAAGTGCATCTTCCCTTGGCAGAGCTGGACCCAGGAGCTGGTGGAGTGTGCTGCTGCTTGCAGAGCCCTCCTGCTCATGAGGGCTTTCCTAAGGGCTGCAGGGAGCCCAGGGTCTGCTCGAGCCTTGCAGGAATTCCTGCAACTCTCTCGCTGTTTCTACTTGGCATTTTCATATTCCCCCCCGCCCCCACCATCTATAGTAGGCTGTCTGTTGGCAATGAGGACAGAGAGCTCCTGCTCTGGGGAGTGACTCTGCCCCCACAAATGCCATCACATTTAAATACATTTACACAACGTGGAGCCAGCCGTAGTAAGTACCCCACCCCCTCGTGTGCCTCCTGCTTTGTGGGTTGCAGTTTGTGCTGGCTGCCAGACCGACTTGTGTGAAAATACTGAATTTTTAATTTTGTTTGTTTTAAAATAAATGAAAGTGTAAGAGAATTTGTAAAAGCTGCTGCTAGATTTTTTTTTTTTCTGAGTGAAATGCTATGGGCTGTTTTATTGCAGTGATTTAAAATATCTACAGCAACAGTGTTTAAAAATACAGTTTCTACTGATTTCCTAATTTCCTATAATTGGGGTTTGAAAATTTGGCTTATATTGGCAGCTTAATCTAAATGAAGTTTGATAGCTATTAATTTTCCATATTCTGAACCACTTGTCTGATTGTTCATCTGTTTTATTTTCTGCTTTAATTTGATCATGGCAATCAAGCACTGTCAATACACTCCACAGTCTTGACAGTGCTCAAGGCTGGGCTGGATGGAGCTTGGAACCTGATCTAGGGAAAGGTGTCCCTGCCCAGGGCAGGGGGGTCGGAACGAGATGATCTTTTAGGTCCCTTCCAACCCAAGCCACTCTGTGATTCTGTGACAGTGTGTGTTGATCAGCTGAGGTGCCTGTTGCACATAATTCTACTAATTACAGCGCAAAAACCCGGTCGGTTGGTTGTTTGGACCCAAATTTACAGAGAGGTGAACTCACAGTAACCAATGTTGCTTTGAGCCCGAGGGAGGTGCATGAGTTTGGGGGTCCGGGGAAGAGCCTCAGCTGACCCCTGGTGCCGTGTCTGTCTTACAGGACGTACCCAGAGCCGAGCCAGCTGGGTGCTGACGACGAGGATCGCTTGGGAGAAGACTTGCCCAGCAGCGAGCAGAGGTTGTTCTGGCACGAGGACTCCAAGCCCGGGACGCTCGTGTAGCCCCCCCATGGCCCCACATTCCTACCCCCCGCGTGCCTTGCACAAAACGCTGTGACTCCAAGGAGGGTCTTGGGTGGAACTCCCGAACTGAACAAAAAGAGGAAGCAGGCTGGTTTTTTTTTTGGTTTTTTTGGGTTTTTTTCGCTGGGAAAGATCAAAATCAGCATTAGGAGGGACTGTAGCAAACTGACAAAAGTCTTACGGCGAATGGCATTTCGTTGTGAATCCGGATGGCCCACGAGAGCCAGGGCAAGCCACAGTTCATCCAAGACTAGATGCAGCACTTGGTTGAAGTATTTATATTTAGCAAGCACTTTTTTGGGAAGGTTGGAAGATGTTGAAGGCAAACCTCAGAGGGAAAAAAAAAGAAAAAAAATGTGAAAAGAAGACTCTTATGGGAAAACCGGGAATTCTAGGAGCACAATTCTGATGTCTGAAAGAAGAAGAAAATGAAAATTTATTCTGCCATGGCTTATGATGACCTGGAAGGACTTTCATAGGCTTATGAAGGATAGATACTGTGTGTGTGAGTGAGGCAAAGGGTGACTGAATCAGTATTGGAACACTACTTGAAGGAAGGCTGGGGTTTTTTTTTGTTATGGAGGTTTGAATGAGTTTATCCAGTTTTTGAGGTGTTGTTAGGAGTGTTTGTTAGCACCACAAGCAAGTTCTGGAGAGAAAACTTGCTGACAAAATATGTCATGTAAAACTGTAGGCGGTTGTGGATTTGGGAAACAGAAGCAGTAAACTTGAACTCTCTTTTCCATGATAAAGCATCATTAGTAACAACCCTTTTAATGACCCTTCCGTGGTACAACTGTGTGGAGGAGTAGGCAAATTTTCACAGTGGCTGCATGGTGACCCCTGTTCATCGGGTGACAATTCCATGTTACTCTGTCTCAGTGGATTGAGGATCCACGGGTGGGGAGCTCCAGTGATCGCACAGGGAACAGTTTGGTAGTAGTGGCCAGTATTTTAAGGTGGATGCAATCACAAACAGCCAAGTGGGTGCCTTAAACTGAGGGGCATTAGGATTGTACCGCGAGCCATCTGAACAGCCAGGTGCGTTGCAAAGTCACTAAGTGACAGAACAGCATTTTCACAAAACCATTTGTGTAGGGGGGGGGAAAACGTGACTGCAGTCTTGATTGAAGAGGGATAAACCTACCTCACGTCATCCATCTGTAGGAACAAATTGGCATTTGGGTTATCCTGCGAGATTCCCAGGGCCTCGTCTGCATACGGTAAAATCTCTCTCGTTACTCAGCCGTACTGTGCTTCGGGATTCCAGAAATGGTGCTCTTTTGTTCTTTTATACAAAGGATTAGTTACTCCTTGTTCATATTGTGAATAGAAAAAGTTTCTGATAAACTTTTTTGACGTTTTTTTACCAATATTCCAGAGCATGTAATATATACAGAAGGACACTCTTGTTAAGCTGGTACTTAGTCGTTTGTATTATTAGAGTCGCGATTTGGAATTAAACGAACAAAAACAGAATAAAAAAATAACTTATTTCCTTGGTTTTGCATATTTGTATAGCCTTCTAGAAATGCGAAAGCTCTTTTTGCTTATTCTTTTACTACTTCTGAATTTTTTAGACCTATTATTTTGTATAGGTCAATAAACTAAAAAGTGTGCTACCAAAACAACATCAGCATTCCTCCTGTTTCTCCTCGAGTGCTTTGAAAACTGCAGTGTGTGTTATTTTCGGGGCTTTAAAGTAAATCCCTATGGTGTGATTTCTTTTGGCCTGTGGTGTTAGGTTGGGTGCAGAGGGTCAGTGGCTTCGTCTGAGGGAAGTTTTTCTCAGGGGACTTCAGAGACTCCCAAAACACATCTGTAAGTTGGAATTTCTGCCTCTCCATCAGCTGTCCTGGGGGAGCCAAGCTGGGCTCACTCAGCATCCCCATGGGAGGGTCACAATCCCTGGACCTGCTGCCCAGCCCCAGCCTGGCAGAGATAAATAGAGGTGGCCTCATGTTGCTGAAAATACTTCTTGCTTGTCTATCCTTGCACCTAAAAATTGCCACAGCCTCTTCCGGTTGGAACATGGCTCTTGAGGTTGTGTTGCTCATCTGCTGGGTCCTCTTTTGAGTTTGTGCCCTCTGAGATGCCCACCTGTCAGTAAGAGTGACTTGAGTTCTAGATGTGCAACTGCTTCTGCACCCTGGTCACCCAGCAGTTGGGGTTGTTCAGTCTCACTCTTCTCTCTCCAGAGATTTGTCGTTCCTTTTTGTGACATCCTTAAACTTCACAACCACCACTGAATTTTATTCATATTTCCAGGTTACTGGTGAAAATAGGCATTAACAGGAACTTGTGGGCATTCCCAATAAAAATACCCCCATGACGTCGTACTTTTCCATTTCTCCAAGTAGTTTTTGCGGTTTGTCTGTTTGCAGATTCTTCATCCATTAACTCATGCTCCTGGCTGCTATAAACTGCTGCCAGGGCTTTGAGCAAGAAGCTGAGTGGTCCAAAGTCCAGTTCCTTACCCAGAGCTCACGGCATCAGTGCAGGCTGGCAATTATTTATCAGCCTGCTTTGAAAGCTTTTCATTTCAAAAGGAAACGAGGTGTGTAACGAAGTCCGTGCCCCGTTTAAAGCATTGTTTCCATTCCTCTATTTTAATGGTGTAGACACGGAGTTTTGTGTTGGCTTTTCCATCAGTGGTCAGGGTTTAGCTCAGCCCAACACATCCGTGTTGGCACAACTCTGGCACTCGGCCTGGCCTCCCTGCTTGCTGGGACAGGACCAGGATGATTTTGGATGATGTTGTTGAGAAGATGGGAATTTGAGGTGGGTTAGGGTGTTGAGGATGGTTTGCTGTATTTGGGGATATTGGGTATAAAACCCTCTAGGGTCAGAGTTCAGAGCCTGATTGCAATTTCCAGTAAGCAAGAGCTGAGCTGCAGAGGAGCTGGAAATGGAAGTGGAGTGGTGGCAGCTGCAGCACTTGAGACCCTTTTGTCACTCTCTGCATGCTTGGCCCTGCAAGAGCTGTGTTCTTAGGAACTTTTATGAAGGGTGGAAGTACAGAATGAAGGAGGCCCAGATGAGGAATAAATAAGAAGTTCCAACTTCTCTTTCTCAGATGTGGCAGAGTCAGTCTTGGCTGCCACTGGGAAGGAGAGGGAAGGCACGACATCCCCCTGTCACCTCCTGCCCATCACCAACAAGGGATCTGGTGATGCTGGCGATACCTGACTTGTGCCAGTTGTTCTCCAGGACCCTTAACTTTACTTTTTGCAGACATCCAGTTTGCTTTGTTGCAGTTCTGGAGCGATGTTTGGATGCACATGTACCTGTGTTCCCAGAGACCAGGTCTGTGTAATGCAGCTAAAGAGGTAATAAAGACATTCTCGTAATCATTATCTTATTTGTTTGCAGCTGAAATACAAATTGCTTGTGCTTTGTTTGAATTCCTACCTCATCTGTGTGTTTTGCTGTGTGACCACAGCCTTCCTCAGCAGGATGACTGAGGACATCTAGTGCCTGACCCGCAGTACTGAAGAGAAGAGCCTCCTTGATTCTGGTGCTCCTCTGGAATACTTCCTGCCTCTTCCAGTGTCAAGAAATATCTAAAAATTCTTATTTGGTATGATCAGAGCAAAGCCAAGAGGTGAACAAGGTGAAACACCAGACCCATAAGGTTCAATTTATAAACATCTCTCTGTTCAGAAGGAGATGCTGCTGATCGGAGTGTGGAGGGCAAATAAAACCCCACTTAAATCTGTATGTAATGGAGCAGTTCCAAGTGCTTTTAGTGGATGGATGAAGAAGAAGAAAACCCAGTCCTTGCCAGGAATCCTTAAAAAGGCATCAGGGCACTAAGCTAAAATAAGCCATGCCTCATGTTTTTAATTGCTGTCTGGTTTTTCTCTGCTGTTTTGAACAGAAATACTCAGAGATGTGGGAGGACATTCCTCCAGTGCAGGGACCATGAGGGGCAAGGCTCAGGCCAGGATCCCCATGCCTGAACACAGGCAAACCTTTAAAGATCACAAGTCTTTAAAATTCAGCCCAGAATATTTAGATAAAACTTGTTGGCCGAAGTGACTCAATATGTGATGTGACTCTTGCAGGTTTCTGCTGACGTTTCATTTATGATCTTAAACTTGTTCAGCATAAGTGTGAGCAACATTTACAGCTCCTGGGTGGGTGAGAAGCCTCCACTGTGGCCCATCCCATCCCAGAACGTTTGTAGGAAATCCTGTAAAGACTGAAGGTTTGCTCCATCTCCTGGGCATTGGGATCAGTGCAGGGAGCCTGTGGAGGAGCTCCCATCTCTGTGCTTGCTGGCATCTGCCTGGATAAGTTAACACCACTACTAGGAAGATTTCTGCTTTCTACACTATTCTTCCATCTCCTTTGTGCTTTTCTGTCATATTTAATAACTTTCTGAGGTAGAAAGCTGAGAGTTTCAGCTATAGCAAAGCCTCACACAAATAATGAAATCTCTCACAGCCAACAGGAGAAAATTTTTCCCCTCCAAGATATTAGACACAGATTTGGGACCACGTGAATCATCTCCCAGGTCAGGATTTATCATCAAAGACAATTACCCTGCACTCTGACTGAGCAAGTCAAATCTGAGGTGACATTTCCTCCTTGGAAGAAGGAACAGTGTGAGTTATGATCGGTGCTGGCAGCCCAGAAGGACACATGACACAGACGTCAGGGCCTTAGTGACAGAAGCAAGACCTTTAACCAAGAAGCACCTTCTTGCCATCAATCCAACTTCATTATCCCTGTCTGTCCCCCACAAAGGGAATCACCATAAATCCTTCAGCAAGCCCTTGACTGCAGAGGGATGTGCTCCGTGTCCCAGGACATCTCCTGCCCATCTCACACACAGCAGGCATGAGTCTCAATTTATATTTAACCATTAGAGTGTCATCGAAGAGCTGCAGAGGGAGAAGAGTTTGCAGCCAGCCAGGGCTCAGCTGGAGTAACTCTAGAAGAAATCCTTCCACCTGTTCCAGGGCTGAGGTTAGGGAAGGACGTGGCCTGTGTGTGCAGAACGAGCTGACCATGTGGCCTTTGCAGCATCCCTGCCCGTGGGCATGTTTTGGTGGTGGGATGATACGAGGTGTGGGGCTGTGATGGCTTTGGATGCTATAAAAGAAAGGTAAGCCTTAGTTTAATGTGAAGGGTGACACTGTTCCCTCAAACGACTCTGTTCCTCATCTGATCTGGCTTGTGCTGAATTCAGGGTTCATGTAAACGTGGAGGTGATTGCTCCTTCCAAAGGTTTTGAAGGTGGTGGTGCTCCTTGAGGAGTCCTTGGTGTTGTGTTATTGCAGTTCTGATTTAGCAGTGCTGCCAGGCAACGTTGGAAGGGAAACTATAGATTTGCCTTAAAAAGGGAGGGGATGTTTTAAAATGTAATTCTAGCTACTGGTTTTAGCATGAGGCTTTTATCACTCCTGAGGCTCTGCCATGCAAACCCAGAGCATAGATAAATCATGAGAATAAAGGTAGAGTTAGCAGTAAATAACTGCTGAATTGCACATGCTGCCACAGACAGGTTCTTACACAGTTTTTGGGGAGATGAATGTCTTCTCCAAGGCTCTGAGCTTGCATTTCTGATGCAAAGTATTGAATCTCCGAGCCTGTCTTGCACACAGACTTGGAATAATAAGCCCTCAGTTAATAGTAAATGTGTAGGTAAGTGGCCTGTGCAATGCCCATGTGTGGTGTGAGGTCCAGCACCACATTTGCCTTGTGCTCTGTGAGCTCTGGCAGTCAGACAGGAGCCAGTGCTGCCCCAGGGTCTCTGTCCCCAGGTGATCGCTGGCACAGGGGATTGGTGTCCCACTTTGATGGCCATAACCAGCATCAGCTCTGTCCCACACCAAGGGAAGCCACGTGGAGGCAGCTCAGAGCACATTTTGGTTTTGCCCACTGGTGAAAAGCCCCAGGCAGAGCCATAGCTCAGTCCCTGAAGCTGTGGTCGGACAATCAACATCATGAATCGCCTGCTCCCCATGAAATAACAAAATTCCTCGTGGTCTTTCACAGACTCAGTTTGATTCACCCCAGGCTGGTTTTCTCTTTTTTTGGCAGCTGTTAGTGCCGTGCTTTGGGAAGAAGAGGTAATGAACCACCACCCAGAGATGAAAATATTCAGGTATTTGGAAGTGCTTCACGAAGGTCACGTAAATAACACAAGCTGAGAGAGCAAAATACCAAGTTAGCAGTAACTAGTGCTGAGTATTTCAGTGTTTTGTCCATGGTTGTGCTATAAATGATATCTGGGAGTAGAAACTCCCTCCTGTAGCCACAGCCCTGCTTCTGTGTAACTGAGCATGGTGGAGAACAGCAGCATGTCCCCTCTGGCTGTGCTGGGGATGCTGCTCCAGCCACTTTAAAACATGGTCAGTAAAAACAGAGCATATCTGAATTGGCAGGGGGATGGTGGGGGAGGCACAGCGTTGTTCAGTGGTAAATCAGCACAGAAACTCAGGCTTTGAGGGTGAAATTTGGAACATGTTTTGGCTCTGAATGGGGCAAAGGTTTGGCCTTCCCTGCTGCTCCATCTTTCCTTGGTACCAGCTACTGCTGTGCCTGCTGCTTCACACAGGGGGTTGCCTTTGCAGCTCCCTGTCAAACTACTTGGGCAAGTACTTAGCAAGGCAGATGTCCTTACTCTGTTTAAACAACAAACTTAATCTGATATATTTATATCTGTAAGAGTTTGGAGGCATGGTGGGTGGGTTTATTTCCCCCTGGTGTTTTTCCCACAGGGTGTCTCGCTATGACTGCTCCTGTTACTTAGTGGTTGTTATTGTTAAGATCCCATCATCTGACCCTTTATAATTCCTGTATTGCATTACACTGCATTGCTGGACATGCTTGGTGTGTGCTACTGTTTGTCAATTTTAGATTCTCCCATCAGGCTCCGAGTTTCTCAAAAGTAATGCAAGGTTATGTTACACGGGGCACACTCTGACTTGTTCTGTGGCACTTGGGTTGGTAATAGGAGAGAATAAATATGGAGGGTTTATAAACAAAAAAAAAAAAAGAAAGCCAACATTTTAGAAATTGCTCTCAAATATTTGGCACCAGCATGTGCCCCATCAATAACCTTAAAAATAGAATCGTTTTAGGCACTTAAAGCATGGGATGATGGAGATGCCTCATATCAAATGGTGGCACCGGAGTCAGGCACTCTTGGTACTGGAGTTAAGAACTTGTCAACCTTTTTGCTTCCAAGAGAGATAGTCTGGAATTTTCTGAAGAAAATGTGCAAATGAGAAAAATCACTGGAGTGAAGCAATCCTGCCAGGAGAACCTGCTGAGTTTCATTCCAGAGCTCATCCATATATGATCACCTGCCTTAGAAACAGCGAGTGGTGAGCAGGAATTGTTCATTACCAAGGGCAGACCTCTCCTTCTACCAGTTTGCTCCTAAAGTGCTTCTGTTTAACACTTGTCAGGTACCTACTTAGCATGAATTTTGAGCTGCTGCCTGTAGGAACTGCTTGTGATTGCTGCAGGTGCCTCTTGTCTTCTGCTGGGCTTTGAGTGCAGCTGCTGGCACAGCACAGCTCTGCCCTCTGGTAACAGGGCAGCTCGTGCAGCAGCTTATTAGTCTGGGGATTCCTAAGCAAGTGTCAAATTGGTGTGAAAATAGCAAGTGCCACTGATGGAAGTGCCTTTCCTGTCTTAATGAAGGTTGAGGAACGTGTGATTATTTTGGAAAGCTCCAAGTGGGATACCAACAAATGTTATTTGGAAGAAGATGGGACTTTTGTCTTGAAAAAGGCTGCTGGATCTGCTGTGATGTGTCCCCAGCCTGGAGGGTGTTGTTTGTTGCTTTAATGTGCTGTTTCCAGAACACCAAAACACTAAGCAGTGTGTTAGGAAAGGAAGTACGTCCTGAACATGTAATTTATGGAGGAGAGACCTAAAGTAGGCAAAATGTGATACCCACCTTGGAAATCTGTGGGATTAGCGCCCGTGTCACCAGGAGAGGTGTCACCAGGCAGCTCCTTGCTCTGCATCTGATGGGGAAGGCATCACTCCCAGTATAGTGTTTCCTAATCCTGGTATTGACAAGTGATGTATTTCTGTTCAGAAGAAAACTTGCTTTTTAAGTACCCGATGATGTTCTCAGTATCCCTGTTTTCCTTCTCAAGGGGGACTTCATGGGTTTGACCCTGCTTGACTTAGATGATCTGACAAGACCATGGCCCAGGATGGCCTGGCTGGAGAGCATGGAAATCCAAGAAGGTGGCATGGGGCTTTATTTCCAGTCAAGAAATTAGCAAGAGATAAGTAAGCACTGAATACACAACTTCTGTGATCCAAACTGCATCGTTTGGGAGAGTAACATTCCAGCTACCATGGAGCACTGATTTATCTGAGAACATCAGGAAACTGTTTATGGACTCTATTATGGACAGCAGAGCTGGGGGTTAAAGCTGCTAGAGCTGATAGATTGATGTGTGGGTCTGCTGTTGTGCTTGCTACTGCATAATATAAAACAAGGATAAGGATGCCCTCCAAAATACCAAAGGGGCAGATGGAGCCATTACATTCTTGGCTCGGGTTTTTATTACCTTTTCCTTTACCACTGATTTCGTTCTTAAATTTTTGCCCTCTTCCCTGCTGTGCAACAGCGTGAATCAAATGAGAACCTTTGGATAATGGCCTTTTAATAGAGGTTAACAGGGCTTTGAACACCATGTTTCATGTTACAGAACGCAGCAAAGAGAGGCCATCATCATGCAGAGCCTGTTTTGCTGCTGGCAGACTCCAGCAGAGCGTGGTTGAGGCTGCAATCAGAAATATGGCTTAAAAATTGGGGAGTCTTGGTTTCACAGCCTCTCCTCTGTGGTTTCATTCCTATGGAAGTTGCATTTGCTGTTGCAAGGTGAGGGTTTGATTTGACTCCCCTGCAAGGAAAGTTTGAAATTATGAGAGGAAATCTTCCTAATCCAATGAATAGCCCAAACTGCGAGTGGAAAAATTACCCACTCACCTTACTGTGCTGTTACAAAGCAGCCGTGAGCACAGTGGTGTTGGAGGTGTGGCTTTCTGCTTTGTCACGTGAATTTAGAAGCCTATAAAATATTCTGAACAAAGAAGGGGAGGATGGAATGGACACCCAATGAAAGAAAGGATTTTGGGTAGTTACATCAGGTCTACAACTATAGTGAAGTAAATCTTTGTAGTTTCTTCTTAATTCTGAAAAAAGTGGTAAATAGTAGGAAAAGGATGAAACTGAGATGAGCTGTCAGCCAGGATGCATTGGCAGTTCAAATAATGCTAATAATGGAGACAGCCCAGTCAAGAAGCAGGGCATTGGGTCTGTCCCTGGGCAGACTGGATGGGAGCAGGGCATGGATGTGCTGTGGGAAATGCTCCTGTTGGGACTGCTCCAGGCTGGTTCAAAGGGCTGGAGCTGGTCCTTGCATGGACCTCTGTCCCCAGGCAGAAGGTGTGTGTTGTACCAACTGTTCACCTGCTTTTTTCCATCTTGGTGGATTTTACCCTAACCAGGATGTGGCATTTGGGAGAGGTCATCAACTGTGGATGGCTCTCACACCAAAACCACCTGTGGTGTCCAGCCAGGGTTTAGACCTGGCTAAAGGCAGTGCAGAGCCTGCAGTCCCTGTTGCTGTTGTGATAGATCAGAGACACTATGGATACAGAAAGAAACCTTGTGCTGATTCTTCCCACAGGTGCTATTAATGTCCCTCTGCCCACCTACAGCAATTCCAGCGTGGGGTGAAGCACTGAATGGCGCGGTGTCCCGGGAATCCTCTGGAAAATGGCTGTCTCCTGCCTCCCTCAATGGGGGACACACCAGCTGCACTGAAATGTCAGAAGGGTTTGCACAGCTGACAGGTTGCTGAAAATGGAGCATGGCCATAAATTCTCTTTATCCAGCCAAGTGCAGCTTAATATAGACTTAGCTGCTCGGGCTGTCCCCCACACTGAGACCGAGAGCTGCCACAGCTCATGACCAAAACTTGAAGTTGTTGATTTAACAGGATGAACTACTGCTAGTGAGGGGAGAAAGAACATAAAATCCTCTGAAGTTTAGCTTCCTCTGTAGGTTTAAGAAGTCATAGAGGAAGGAGAGAAGAATGAACATGTCTGAACTCGGCCAGAACTCCAACGAAGACGTGTGTCCTGAGGACATCGATGAAGATGAAATCCTGGCAAACCTGTCCCCTGAGGAGCTGAAGGAGCTGCAGAGTGAGATGGAAGTCATGGCCCCAGACCCTGAAGTCCCAACTGGGATGATACAGAAGGATCAGACAGAGAAAGCCCCCACGGGGAGCTTTGACCACAGGTCCCTGGTTGACTACCTGTACTGGCAGAAGGCATCCAGACGCATGCTCGAGGACGAGAGAGTTCCTGTCACCCTCTTGCCCTCTGAGGTAACGAGCAAAAAATCACAAATATTTATTGAGCATCTGCTCTGGGAGCTGTTTTATAGCTTTAATACCTTAACCTGCTTCTGCTTCTGTCCCTTACGTAAGGTATAGTACAAACAAATTTAGATTAATCCTAAAAGCCTCAGCAGTGACAGAATCCAGCTTGGACTGATGTCAGGCTTAGTAATTTTTTAATTGCTTTTCCCAAATATTTACTTAAGGTTTTTAATATAAGAAAATCCTAATTCTGTTTCAGCAAAGCAAATCATTGAGAAATTGTCACAAGATTAGTTTTGGAGGATGTGTTTGAGTTTGTATATGAAACAACACTATGTTGCTTTTCCATAAAAGACTGCATTAGTCATATTTATTAAATTATTAATTGACAGAATTTAATGATCTACTGGAGAAAAAAACCAAACCACTGTATTTTAACAGGGTGAAACATTCACTAATGACCAAGCATGCAAACTCCAGGAACTAGTCCGACCCTATTCAATACAATCCTTTAATTTATTTGACTGTCCTTATGACTTTGAAATAAAGTTAAGGTCATACTTAGATATCCTTCAGGATGAGGGCCACACTTAAAAATAGGTTAATAGAATTGAAACTTGGCCAGATGAAACACATCCATACCCAAACCTAAGTGAATTTGAGGTAACTGATTTATTTTATTTTTGTTTTAAATACCAGTGGTTCTGCTGATACAGACCAACACGATGCAGCACAGATTTCCCTGGGCAGGTTTCTTGGGGAAATTTGTGGTGTTTTCCCTTCCTGTAACACTCTCACCCTCAAAGAAACAATTTTTTTGAAACATTTCTGAGGTTCAGTCTGGAATTTGGGTGTGGAGCTGGCTGCTGACAACTGGTCAAGCGATCCCCACACTAATCCCATCTGCTACCACAGCAGACAGGAGCCACAGCCCCGAGGGCAGAGGTGACTGTGACCATGTTGTCAGACTTTGGGTGCACCACAAGCCCTGCCTGAAGGACTGCAAATCTTTGCAAAATAGCTTGAATTTGTTAGCATTTCTCAGTGATGGAGGATCCACTTGCAAAAAGATACTTGAAAAAAAAAATCTCAGCCTGGGGGGGATGTCTCTGGAGGTGGTAGAAATCTGCAACTATTTTTATTTGGTTGCTAGAAGCCCCACAGCCTTGCAACAGCTCTGTGCAGGATCTGCTTTCCCATCTCTGTACTCAAAACTGAGCTAATATTTTGCTTTATCTTCAGTGAGGTGTTTCCTTGGCTGTGATGCTCTCCAGTACCAGAGCAGGCGGCCTCGTTGTCCCATGTGCTGGGTGACTCCACTGTGGTCACAATGTGCCCTCTTAACTCCCCCTTGGGCTCAGCAAACCATCAGTGGTTCACACTGATTTCCAGTGATTTGTGGCCTATGAAAGAAATTTTGTCTCTTGTCAAAGAAGAGATACAAATGACACAAAACCCAGAAAGAGACTTTGGATCAGAGACTCGGCCCCAAAAGAGTTCAAGGACCGTATTAACATAGCATTAAATATGCTCAGGATTTAATTGTCAGGACCTAATTTTGTAAGCAAAGAAGAGAAACTGGTTTGCAGCCTCTTTAAGAACAAGTTGTTCCTGTGTCCGCCAGCACAGCCTGGGCTTCCAGGCAGTGACCCTTTGAAGGATTGTTCTCTAATGTATGGACATAGAGAGATCCAAGTCCAACTGCCACATGTTTATTTGAGTAGAAAGTTACTGTGACAAAGCTGTGTTCAGTTCTTTCAGCTGTGAGGTTTTATCTTCCCCAGAGAAGCGCTGCAGAGGAGATGGAAGGAAAGGCCGGCGGCAGCGGCGAGGCGGCCGGAGCGAGGATGCCGGGAGCAGAGGAAAAGAGAGACATTACCAAAATGAGCATGTGTCCAACTCAGGAACACAACTGGGGGAGACAAAGGAAGATGGAAATGATAAAGAGAGAGGGGAGGAGGAGGATGAGAAAGAAGCAGCAGAGGAGGAAGAGGAAGATGATGAAGAGGAGGAGGAAGAAGAAGAGGAAGATGAGACTGAATTGCAAACAAAGGAGAATTACACCAATGACAACTGTCACACTGATCAGATAAGTAAGAAACTGAGTACAGAGCCGGGAGAAATCGACGAAAAGCCAAATGAAAATGTAAAGAAAATATCAAAATTGAACATCCCCCAAAAGTTAGCGCTGGATACCAGCTTCATGAAGCTCAGTGCCAGGCCTTCAGGGAATCAAACCAATTTAGAAGAGAGTTTGGAGAAGGTCCGAAAAAACAACCCAGATGTGAAAGAGCTCAACCTGAACAACATCGAAAACGTCCCCAAGGAAATGCTGATAGACTTTGTCAATGCCATGAAAAAGAATAAGAACATAAAAACGTTCAGCTTGGCCAACGTGGGGGCCGATGACAACGTGGCGTTCGCGCTGGCCAACATGCTGCGGGAGAACAGGAGCATCACCACGCTGAACATCGACTCCAACTTCATCTCCGGCAAAGGGATCGTGGCCATCATGCGGTGCCTCCAGTACAACGAGACGCTGACGGAGCTCCGCTTTCACAACCAGCGGGGCATGCTGGGCCACCAGGCGGAGATGGAGATCGCCAGGCTGCTCAAAGCCAACACCACCCTCCTCAAAATGGGCTATCACTTCGAACTGCCGGGGCCCAGGATGGTGGTGACCAACCTGCTCAGCAGAAACCTGGACAAGCAGAGGCAGAAGAGGCAAGAGGGGCAAAGGCAGCAGCAAATGAAAGAGCAGAAAGAGTTGATAGCGATGCTGGAGAACGGACTTGGGTTGCCTCCCGGGATGTGGGAAATGCTGGGGGGACCTCTGCCCCAGCTGAGGATGCACGAACCCCCACAAGCCCCGAAACCACCCGTCCCTGCAGCTGTGTCCCTGAGCAAAAGGCAGGAGAGCAGGAGGCAGGCGGCCCCGGAGCAGCCCTGCAGAGAGAAACCCATCAGCTTCAAAGTGGTCAAGCTGAAGAAGACTCAGCGCAAACCCGCCGTGCCGGAATACGTGGAACCCGCCGAGAAAACCAACCTCAAAGACGTCATCAAAACACTTAAACCGGTCCCCAGGAGAAGACCTCCTCCCCTCGTGGAAATAACCCCGAGGGATCAGCTCCTCAACGACATCCGTCAGAGCAACGTCGCTTATCTTAGACCGGTGAGTGCCGAGCTGCGGTGGCGAGGGGAGGGAATCACGTCCACCCAGCGTGCCCTGAGCTGGAGCTGGAAACATCTGGGCACTCATGGGGCTGGCAATGCACCCGTGTGCTGCATCAGCAGTGCTGCATCACTGTGCCAGGCTGCTGTTCCTGGGATGCAGGTGGTTGTTTCCCAGCAGCACTAAGGTCTGGCCTGCACGGAGAAATGGCAACAGGCTGCAGCCTCGGGCACCCCTGTCTGCATCCATAAGGTAAAAGAGTGGAAATTCAGTCAGGAGATTAACAAACCCACAGAAACTCAACCTTAGCACAGTCCTAATAGTATATTAGTTATGATAGGCACATGCTATTATAAGATGCTTCTTTCAGGAAAGCAACAGGTATTATTCTTCACATTAGTCTGGCCTCAGTCCCCCATCAAAACCCCATGGTTCTCTCTTCAATAGCTGTGTTTTTATCTTAGCTCTCACTCTATGCAAGAAAGCACCATCACTTGGCCCACACTGAAATCCAGCTTAGACTCACAGCCTGCAGCTCTGCTCCTGCCTCCCTCACCCAGTAACAAGGAGTGTATTATTTTAGTGGTTCTTTGCTGCTCAATCTTTTTTTGCCCTTATTTAAATCAACTGCAAAATCCTAGTGCTATCAGGAAAAAAAAAAAAAGAAGGAAATTAGAAGCACCGGCAGTGAAGATGGAGCAAGGTTAAAGGAAGAAAGTAGTGATACCACAGGAGTTTTTATATTTGTTTCTGAGTAAATCTTTGCCACTGAAAAGTGCTCAGTGGTCACAACTTAGGTGAGCTCAGCATGAGAATACGAGTCCAAAACTGTGAAAACTGCCTCTTGGTGATGCTGTTACTTGGGTACCAAATTCATGGACCACTTCTCAAAACGTTGGCCAGCAGATTTAACCTTCTGCTCTCCTGACCTGTTAAATTTCCTTGTGTAGGATCATTATTCAAGAAATCCTAAAAGATGACTGATGCATTTGTAGCTCGTGATGTTGATGCCTGTTTGTGTTGCTAAGGCTTGAGGAAGAGGAGAGAAAATTCTTTGTAATTAAAAATGGACAAATAGTATTTTGTAATTAAGTTTTCTTTTAATATTGACATTTTAATATAGTGGGCCTCATTTTGCTTTCATTTATACCTACACAGAAACAATTATTCCCTCAGCAAGTCCCTCAGTGTTGGGGGTTTGGGGTGGGGTTTTTTGTGGTGGTTTTTTTTGGTGGGTTTTCTTTTTTTTTCCTACTTCTCTCATTGGGCCACTTGGCTTGGATTTGGGAGCATTAGGCTGTTATTCTCCCTATGCTGTGTGATGTTGGTAATTCCTTTTTTGCCTCAGTACCCTCAGCTTCATCTCTAAAATAGGGTTTTACTGCTTGAGCCAAGCTGGGTGTTTGTTTGCTCCATGAAGGGACTCACTGCCTTCAAATTGATTTCCTGGGCATAAAGCATCACAAAAAAAGAAATTCCCAACCAGAGTTCCTTGGAGCTCCCAGCTGCTATATTTTTGATCATTTTACATTTTCTGAAGGTTTATATTAGACTTAACTGCTTTGTGAAATAAGACTGAGAAATTTCCTCCTCCTCATACTTACTGTCCTTGTCCAGGTGCCGTTGCCAAAGCAGCTGGAGTGAGACCAGACTGACCTGAAGAAAACAACTTGGGATAAGGACTACTCAAGTTTTGCTTACAACAGTTTCAGCAGATGTTTTCTGCAGAACCCAGGTGGTAAATTCAACTCTTTGGGAACAAAGCTTGCGATACACACTTTTATAAGTGTGGTGGAAACGGCTGGCATGGGAAAACCCAGTGCTAAGCATTTCCACCAGGTATCAAACAATCCCGCTGCCATCTGTCTGCCAAGTGGATTTGAGGCTTCAGTTTGTTGTGGGAGTATTTTCTCAGAGGCATCAATAACCTTGTCTTTCTAGTTTGTCAGCAAACTACTTTGCTTCCACGTTGTCCTCCTGCTGCCAGATTCTGCAGGAACACGCTGTGCTTTATCTCTCTTTTCACACACATGCTCCCTTATTATTCTCTTGTCTGTGAGAAATGTATTTGGGTTCCATGTACACAGCTTCATTTTTTAGGCTAAGGAAACAGCAATGAAATAAAGCTCTCTCTGTAAGATGTGTGCAGCACTTCCATCACTAACCAGACGCTCGCTGACAGAAGGACTGCTCTGGTACAACAAACACCTCGCCTGGATGGTTTCAAGCTCCATTTCAGAACATAGTCTAGTGGGTATTGTACCTGATCAGCATATAAAAGATGCTGCTACATTCTGCTTCAAGAGCTGTGATCTTCATTCCCCATGATTCACCTCTGTCTTAATGTATTCCTTAATTGCAGCCACCTTGGAGTGCACTGAAATGCCATTTCTGGTTTCTTTCCACACTCTTCCTGTGGCAGGAGGATTGGTGTTTTTTCTCCTCATCCTTTATGATCACATTAGATTTTTCCGTTGCATTTTTTGTGAAGCAATTGCAGGTAAGTCACACTCTTGTAAAATACATCCACAAGAGACCAGTTTGGGGTTTTTTTGTTTGGTTTTATTTTTAAAGCTGTGAGGCTTAGGGAAATAATCAAGGCCAAAATGCAGCTCCCCTGCCTTCCTGTGGCTGATATTTGATCCAAAGGCACAGCTCTGCAGCTCCTGGCAGGATTTCCTTGAGGTGAGTTAGTCTCAGTGATTGCAGTCCCACCCTACTCCCCCTTCCCATGTTTATTATAATAGTCCTGTATTATCAGCAATGTCCAGGACCTCATTGAATCCAAGGAAGTCTCTACTATCATTAGTTAAAATTTTCATTTGTCCTTTCTGTGTCTATCACCTGGTCTCTTTCCAAGCTCTGTCTTTCAAACTTGTAAAGCTCCTTCTAAGCTCAGCTTCTGTTTGCCACTGCAATGCCCCAGACTTGGCAAACCCTCTTGATTTATTGCCTAAGACAGAGCAAGATACTTTTAAGTATCACCTAAAGGGAAAGGAAGAGCCATTTCTGCATGGCAGAGATGTAAAAAAATTGAATTTTCATTGCAGCTCCCACTTTTTGTAATGAGTAAGAGTAGGAATGGGAAGGAGCTTGGTACTTCTGACCAAGCCCTTGCATGGAGCACAGTAGCAAATGCAAAGAGCTCTTGGAGAGGAAGCTCTTGGAGTAGCTGCTCTCCAGACTGGCTTCAGGGCCGGGCTAATGCAGCTCAGACTTCAGCAGTTGGGACAGGGAAGCACAAAGGAAAATATAATATAGTGCTTTACAGTCTCCAGCTCGAGCTGTCAGGCACAAATTACTGCTACACCCAGAAGCTGCCAAACACGTCTTACCAGGGTGCACAGAGCAGGACCTGTGGAGCCCTGCTCTGATCCATGTTCTCCCACTGAGCAGCCTCTCCAGTGATCCCAGGAGGAGCCAGGCAGCCAGATACAGAGATCACACCATCAGTCTGACTGCAGCAGAGCTGGCTTCCTAGTACTGCTCAAGGCACAGTACTCCTAGGTACAGAAATCCCTCTCAGGTAATTAAAAGCAAAGTGAAATCCCAGTTAAGTAGAGTTATATAAGAGACTGGAACAGCATGAACAAATACCTTAAGTATTCCACCTCTGTAGAGCAGCCTTTTTAAGGATGCAAGAGCCAAGGCTGTAAAATTTCAGTTCAGAGGTCCCTTGTGTCCCAGCAAAGCTAATACAGACACGGAGCAGTCAAAGCCAGAAGCAGCTTAATCCCCTATGGGCTTGTGGTACGAGCTGCAGGGTGACAGCAGACCTCCCACCACCCCTCCTGGAGCTCCACCAAACACAGAAACAGCCACAAGCTTCAGTTTCAAATCCTTAGAATTTATTTTTCGTCATAACTGTGCAGTTTTTAAAATTCTACAGTAATGATGAAGTCATAGGCTACTATGTTCTTTAAGTGTGGAAACAGCTTTCAAAAAACAAAGACCATGCGCTACAAGTGAGGAACAGGCCATTGACTCTTCAGCTGGAATATACAGACATTTTTGATAAATACTGATCACTGCAACACTTAAATGGAATGACATGTTCAGATCTCTACGCAGTTCACTATGAAAACAGCATGGCAAGTTACATAAAAGCTTCAACTTCAAGGATCCTTCCTTTTTTTATTAAATTAATTACTTGATTAGAAAAGAGAAATGCAAGATTATTTGAAATGGAGTATCACCTGGACAACTTCCCCCCACATTGTTGGCAAGCTCCTGTTATCAAGATGATTCCATCAGAGCTGGCAGTTAAGTTAAAATACATGTATGTAAAAGAATCCCCCACACTGCTCTCAGCTCCAGGAGTTTCCACAGGCAAATATCTTCATGAATTTGGAATGGGTGTTCAAAAACTGTATCTTGACATTTATTGCTTTTACTTGTAAACCTGAAATCCAGTTTATTCCTTTGATGAGTGCCAGAAGTACAGAGTCAAAGGATGCATGTTTGACTTACATCTTTGCATTCTGGTTAAGAAGAAAGAAAAAGATGACCCACGCTCAAAAACACACATAACCTCCATCTACAAACAGCCTATAAAGTCTAAAGCAGAACAAGGTAAGTCCTAAAGTAACAGTATTTAAAAACATCAATGGGGTAGAAACCCAGCTTATCCAACCTATCTGCACATTTCTTCTTCTCCTGTGCTTGGCCATAGTTTAGCTGGCACACAGGGAAGTTTCTATGGATCAGGATTTTGGAGAGAGCAAAGGTACATTTTACTGGAAGTGGCAGGCACAGTGCCACGTGTACTCTTCATGCTTACATCTATTTAGACTGTTCCATGGCTGCTGAAGGAGGAGTGTGAGGTGAGGACAGAACCCAGACTCGTTACAAGTACTGCACAGTTTTACCCCTTGCCAGTTAAGCTGGCAACGTGGTCTCTGTAATTACCATTCAAGGGAGGGATTTGGAGGATGCAAGAAATGCCTACATTTGATATGTTCCAGCTCACCTTGATCATCAGCAGGCTGAAGGTGCTACCCAGCATAACCTGGCTAAACTGCAATCTTTCAGAACTGAGATGAAAGGGGTGTTACTTTAATAGACAAATTTGTTACAAGACAGTTTGAGAGACTGCATTCCGTAGGTTTCCATCTCTTCCTCCTCTACCCCCAGAAGAAGAGACAAGCAAACATGATTAAGTTAGTATGTATTTGTGTAAACACCAGAACATTTTGCTATACAATAGAAAAAAGTCGCTGCTCTTATGTTTTTAGAGGAGCCCTGAAGACCTTGGAATACCTGTATCCTGCAACTATTAACCTGTACCACATGCATTTCCTGTTTTGTACACAAACTGAAAGCAAGCTTGAACAATAGTAAATAGCAACTACACTCCTGCAACAGGTGAAAATGCCATGTTGCAGCTGCTTACTCCTTCACTTTAGATATGTAGTCAGCAATTTTGTTGATACTATCCTCCTGCTGTTCTAGAGCATCCAGGATGATGCCCATTGGGGTCTTCTTCAAGCCTATTCCCTCCATCTTGTTCTGCAGCTTGTTCTGAATGTTCCGGAGCCTCAGAGAAGCGTGGACAAACATCACTGCAGGACAGAAACACACTCATGAATTGCTAATGCTCAGGGAATGCATAAATTCTTGCAGCACTCATCTGAAGACATTCCAGCACCATGACATCACTGGAAGATGATGACGTATCAAAGACTGTTTAAGTAACCACAGGTACCCATTTAATAATGACATTGGAGATGGCTTGTGCTGTTTTGTGTCCACTCCCCCACAATTCTGCTTTGGGATCATTTAAACAGAGATAGCAAAGGCCAACAGCCAATTTAGAATCTGCTGACTTATTTGAGAAAGCTCAAGTCACGCAGTGCCAGCCCCACAGAGAAGAGAAAAATTACTTACAGAGGAGAGGAAGCGTGATCCCAAACATGAACACCATGACATCTCCCAGGTAGGAGATCAAGAAGTAGCTAGACAGCATGATGGCCACTACAAACGTGGTTGGATACTGCTTCTTCAGCTTGCGGAGAATATCCTTGTTGTGAGACATCCACACAAACCCCAGGAACACCAGCACCACCACGGTACCACCAATGACCATGTTCAGGGGACTCAGAAATCTGGAGAGAAGAGGGAACAACAACAACAAAAAAAAGTGTTCAGCTTCAGAGCCTTCATGACTCGTGTCCATAAAGGAACAGCTCGCTCAGCAGTGGCATTACCAGGGAGGGAAGTCATTGAGAAGGCAGTTGCTGCTGTCAAGACCTTTACCAAGGTCTTTAGCAAGAAGCTAAATAAAGCAACAAGTGCAACTCGAACAAGCAACCCTTTAAGCACTGAATTTAGATAATCTTTATGTCCTCTTCTCGAGTTTAGCTCAGGATAATGAGTTTCTGCAGCACCTCATAACAGAAGCACTTCCCACCAGGACCCCTCCTACCTCTGCAATCAACTCGTGGTATCGCACTCAGAGTTGGCATATCCAGAGAGCAGATGGAGGCAACAGGTGCCCAAGGGACTGATATTTTTCCCTCCACATGGCAAAACCAGGATCAGCCTAGGCCTTCAGATGAACTAGCTTGCCATAGTATCTTGTCTAGGTTTGCAAAATGGGAAAGGAAGGAGAACACTAACTAAAGGGGAAGTTACTTCACTCTTTC